CCAAAAATGGGGAAAAGAAAAAGCTAGCGAAATGTAATGAACATTCACCCAGTAAACTAAAATATTTGTTTCTTGCTTCGTTTTTGGTTAGTTTTTCTTGGTTTTCCCATCCCCATCGCGCAATGCATATTTTAAAATGCATTGAAATGCAGATAGCGCGCCAGGTGGGCGTGGCAGGTGGCGAGTAAACACTAAACAAATGGCAAAACAAGCAAAGATGCTGATCATATACAAACACAAACACACACACACACAAATGCTAACACCAACACCAGCAAAGCGAACACACACATGTACCCACGACACGTGGCAAAAGTTTTAATGAAACAAAGTGTGGCTGCTGTTGCAAGTATTGCTTTGCTGCCGTTGTGGCTGCAACCATTGCTTCTCCCAGGGGCGGAGTTCGTTGAGAAACAAAATTACTCGAATTAGATGAATAAATACCTATTTCATTCTGAAATACAACTTAATCGGGTGCATATATATAGTTCCCAACTGAAAAGAGTCCTGGGCAGTCGCTGTCATATTTAAATAATTTTAAAAGAAGGTCTCCAAAAAAAACTTCAAATCAGTTAGAAGCTAATTTTGCATGCCTTTAGTAATGCATTTTCTGCCACGGCTGCACTCTTCTTTCTGTTTTGAAAAAAATCCTCCCTTTTGGTTGTTGCAAGGATGCCTGGGAGGTCCTTGGGCTATTAGAACTACCGAATCCGCCCCTGACTTGCCTCCACCAGCACTTTTGGCAGCAGGAGCGTGGGAAAAATGTTGTGGCTTGTAAACGGAACCGCGGAACCGAAAGCGGAGTTGCCAAGTTGCAAGTCGCCGCCATAGGAGATGCAACCACGCAACGGAAATGAGAAAACGCTGCAAGTACATGCATGTGCGGGCTCTGTGTCCGCCGAAAATAATGCAACAAATTTAGTGCGCTGGCTGGGAAATGAAAAATGGTGAATGAAGCGCATGCACACATATATCAATCGCCGGTGACAGCGTTTTCCAGCGTTTTCCAACGTTTTCCAACGTTTTCCAGCTGCTGGCTGCTCCTCATTGTCAACCACAATGTCGACTGCCGGCACAAAACAATTCGTGTTGCAATTCGAATCGCTCGAAAGTGCATCTGCAACCAAAACTATTGCCGCAGCCGCAGCAGAGCCCAAATGCAGCTCGAGATTTTAGCAAAACAATTGCAAATGCCTCCCATTGAATCGATTCAACAATTCAGCCGCGCAGCAAGTTTTTCCACTTGCCTCCAGCTACCAGCTACCAGCGGCCACAGCAACTGAAACTGATCCTGAAATTGCAGCTCAAACTGCATCTGAGTCTGTATCTGTAGCTGTATCTGTAGCTGAATGTGTATCCGTACGGGAACAAAGGTCCCCAGCGAAAGTATGCCAATGCGCTTCGTTTGCAAAAGCAGGCGCAAATGCCACAGTCACCGCTGCTCGCGAGGCTCAACCGCCATTACCTGGTTAAGGGGGCCAAAACAGCCTGCAAACGGAAGATACGGTACACTGGGAGAAAAGTCTGAGTAAGACCTTTCCGTATGCTTTAAGTGCGAAGTTTAAACGTGCATTGCCTCACATAAAAAGTTTGGCATCAACGAGTACTTCTTCCATAATAATTGATAAGCATCATATGCTAGGTGAGGCTGATATTTCTCTCAGTGCCTTTCGCTGCAACTGCCATTACTGTTTATGCAACAATGTGCACGCCCCCCTTTCCCGCCGCCCACCGACCCATTGTCGTCAGCTGCTAAAAACGCTTGCCACGTAAAGTGTGTGTTTGTGCACGAGATAAATTATTTAAGCAACAAACTGTGCTTTTCGCACCACTTTACGTGCAACATGCGGCAGGTACAGCGCTTTTGCGCTGCCGCGTGGAAATCAATCGGCTCGGAAGGGTATTGCATATCCACGTGATAGTTGTGAGTGTCTCTCGCAAAACAATGGATATCACGCGGTCGAGTTGGAGGACTGCATCCAAATCGAGTTTATTGTGCGGCGCAGCGGCAGTGTTGTATGCATTTTTGATGTAAGTGCTCTGCGTGCGTGCGAGTTTACAGGGGCATGGGGGTGTTGCACAGTGCGAGTGCGCACTGTACGGTGGACTCATGTGACACAGTTTCCGCGACAGCGAGGACAAAACACATTCGAGCTCATTTTTCAGCACGGACAGAGAGAAAGTGTTCGGCGCGGAAGTGGCGAAAGTTTCTGCGTTTTGTGCAACACACGCGACTTGCTACGTGCGGCAGTCAGTGAAGGGGATAAATTTAAGAGCTTGTGAGCTTGAGCTCGAATTTAAGTAGCACACAGACAGAAATGGAGATTTTCTGCTTTCTAACACCCAACTATGGCCATTATTTTGACGGATTAAAAGCTTAGCAGAGAGGAAAGTTTCTGCCCCTTTATGTTTCAGTTCTTATGGGATTTTTCAACACGCAGAAAAAGCCTGAGAGAGCTTGTACTGCAAGCAACCAACTAGTTAACCATTTCTATAAGATGAAATGGCACGCTTGTTTCACACATTTTCGCGCAGTGCACAATTACAGATTTTCCGGCCGAGAGACAGCAATAAAGTTTGCCGTTCCATCGGAGTTCCTCTGCGTGTATGCAGCTCCCCACTATGCAGCTCCCCCACTTTTAATGAAATTTTGTGCATAGTTGGAAACCACTTTAAAATTGTTTAATGCGCCTACGCCCGCCCACAAATTTTTGGCCTTGCAACCGCCCCCGAAAAATGGGGTACGCACAGCTAAACTCACAGAAATCACCTTCCTGCCATTGGGCTTTCTCGGTGCGAAGTGGTTTGCATGTTTAATGCATTTCATGCATGCAATTTAAGGCCAACTGCATTTTTGGTCATTTGAAAAATATGTGCAGGAGCCTCGACATGTGCCACTTGGGTCGTTTTGGCCCGAATGACCGCCGGCCAATGGAGGTGACTGCCCAAAAGAGGGGCAGAGAGGCAGAGTGGGAAATTCAAATTCATATGCAGAACTCTAATTTCGGCCATCGCCCCAAAGGATACGAGGTGCCTATCGCGCCGACTGCACAACCCAGACATATTTATGCACGCCGAGATATTAACGCAGGGGTCGACTGGTATTTCGAGGAACTCCACTTGTCCTGGGCATAAAGGAGCTTTAAAGTGCTCCTCCAGGCGCCGTTGGACACCCAGATGTCAGATTGGCTGGTGCAGACTGGTGTTGGCTTGGAGATATAGGAGATATATGTGCGGGTTGCTGGAATGAGAGATCAAGACCTCTATATCCAACAGAACAAACCTTAAAGTTGAAAAATCTCGTAGCTACTGAGTATCTGTTATTCGGTTTCTCTGCTCCCCTATCACTTTGCTCCTGTTGCGTCTCGAAGTCCATTTGACTGCAAAATTTGTGCAATTTCACACAAGCGTGCGTCTTTGTCCCGAGACAATATAAAATCTGAGGGTCGACAAATTCGCACGGGCCATGTCCAGCATTAAAGCTTGACCAATTCTCGCCCGTTTCCTTTGTGCTCGGCCACGCCCCCACGTCCAGATGACCGCTCCGCCCCGCCATCCGCACTGCCCGTAAAATGATGATCTGCGAAAATGTCCTTTTATGTGCGCCGGGCGCTAAGGACCTGTAAAAGTGTCTCTTAAGAAGGGGAGGCGGCTGAGAGCAGACAGGTGGGTCGCAGGAGCGGGCTGGATGGGTAGATGGCCGTGTCCAGGGGTGTCGTAAAAGATAAAACTCACACAAAGCGGAAAAGTGCAGTCGGCGGAGGGCGTGGGCGGGCCAAAAGTAAAGACTTTTGGCCTGTTTGCTGATGCTGCCGTTTAGCGCGTCCCTTTCTCTTCTCCCGTTTTCCTAGCGCTCCTGGCGGCTCCTTGGGGCGTCTTTTGGACTGCGACTACGGGACCACGACTGCAGGTCTGCTGCTCCGCACTTCCTGTAATCAAATTTGTTACGCTGCGTTGGTGTCCTGCTTGCAGGACCGCGCAGGACCTGCTCTTGAACTGCATTTAGCCGGGCCGAACATTAGTTTCGCCTCGCTGCGCTCATTTGTCGCCCAAAAGCCGGCAATACCAGGCTCCGTTCCCTGTTTTCTCAGCGCCCCAGCAATTGGCTTTAAGCCGCTGCCACGCTGCCACGCTGCCACTGCTGGGCGACAGCAATTTTCACGTTGGCCATGTCGGCAGGACAGCACAGGACACGGAAACGATGCCCCCGAGGGCACGGCGAGTGCGTTAACACACTCTGACGGGTCACACGCACCGCGCAGTGTCGGACAAATGCCCTTCGTCCTGCCATATTGTCCTGCCCCTCACCTACGCACATAACGCGCTAACGTTCCGGTATGCGCGTACTGCGCGTTTATTGCCATCCTGGGAGTCCTGGGGAAGGACTCGCTGTTACATTTTTATGCTAATTGAAACTCATTCGACTGGCAACAAATTGCCATCGATAGACGGACCCTCCAAGCAGCGGTGGGAGTGCACTCGAAGAAATACTAGTTGCCAAGGGAGCTGGAGTTTCAGCTGGAAGCAAATAACCACACAAAGCCTGCGCAGGGAAATTGCATTTTTATAGCAATTTATATACGCTGTGGTTTCATTTCATCAGCATTGAATACAATTTTGGTTTGATTTATAAGACAATTAATTGCGGAGAAACGCTTGACTGCTAATTATAAATAATATATTTGGTCACGGCTGGTAAACAGCTAATAATAATAATATCCAATTAAATATTGAAATTGGCAAAAAACGTTACAGTTCTATATTGTTTAATATTAGTAATTAAATCGTATTAGTGTGTCAAATTTATGAGCAGAGCTTATTGTGATGTGCGTTGTGGCACATTCCTTTGTGAAATCGATAGGTGTGGTGGCTTCTAATTGGTTTTTGTGAAATATATTTCGTTATGTTTGCCACATTGAATCCGATATGGCACTGCTTGTTAGCCGTGTACGACCGCAACCTAACCCGCCACTCCGCTTTTCCGCTTTTCCATTTTCCAGGCAGCAACAGCCGCTCGATGAGCAACGTGCAACAGTCGGCGGTGGCACCCTCCACGCACACCGCCACCCTGCCCCGCTTCCTGTCCAGAGGACACACCTACCGCGCCGTCGTCGGGGACACGCTCGTCCTGCCCTGCCAGGTGGAGAATCTGGGTGAGTTTTGGTATAATTAATCCGGCGTTATTACTATTTCGATGTGAAAATGCGATCATAAAAATAAATGCAGATGCCGGCGTACAACAATAATAATAATGATGATATTTTCAGCAGGCAGTCGGTGCGAATTATGCAAAATACGTGTATATGCAAATATGTTTAGGCAAAATGTCACTTCACATAAATTTAATATTCCAGAGCAACAACGTGGCCGACAACACATTTGGCCAACCAACAGCTGTCAACAGCCTGTCGTTCGCTTTTGGCCAAAAGCATCGACACATTTTTCCCTTCGCATTTATAAATCGGCTGGCCAAATATGCAACCTCACACATATTGGCAGCAAATAAATTTGCCTGATTAACGTTGCCAGCCGCATGAAGGACGATGTTTCGGCGGGGTGCGGGGTGCGGGGTGTGGCCGTTTGTCATGGCCAAATGGAGTCTAGTTTAGCCTTGATTCGCCGCCAGTTGATAGATTTCCAGCAGGCAGTCAAATGGCAAACGGCATGGAAATGCAATCCAAGCGTGAATGCAGCTGGGCTGCAAATAAAATGACATTTGATTGCCCATGGATGCATGAATGGCTGCCGTTTTCTATCGAGTGAGAGATATTAAAATATGCAGCAAGGCCGGCCGTGTCTTTCTCGACTTCAATTAGACAGGACTAATGCAAAAATGTTGAAGTGCATTGCAATTTATGCGCTTTGATTGCCCGATTTTGATTTTCCCATATGCATATCTTAATTAATAAAATCCCAGAGTTCACTCAAGTGTGTGGCCCAAATGATATGTGGCAGATCAAAGTCAAAAGCGCCTCCGTATGTGGCTTAAACTGGTTTGGCTAGTCCATTAGATTTCGCTGAGTGACGCCAAACTTTCAGCCATCATCAAAGTGGTCAACATGCTGGGCGTTGCTGGCAAACAAGGCAAACTTGCCAGGCAGTGGCCCAATGAAAATCGAGTCGCGTCGAATTTTAATCAATTAAAGGCGAGCGGTATACGCTATATTTGCAGCGACTAAACAGTTTCCACTAATATTGACCGAGCTGATGGCTTTCCTTCGCGCCCGTCATTATCGGCGGAAAGCGCTTTAATTTGCTGACCCAGTTGAACGAAAAACAAGGGGAAAAGTTCAAATTGCGACTGCTGTTGACATGCCAATAAATAAAATGCAATTAACCGTTCGCAGCAAATGAAAATAAATTGCACATTGATGGCAGTGACGACAGTCCGCGCAGCATGCACTCCTGGCTCCGCAGATTGACATCAGTCAAAGTTTTCCACTCCGTGATTGTGGAAAAGGCAATGCCGTGATGGTACACGGCGGAAAACATGACATTTTGCCGGAAAAAGTCACACTTGTAATGCAATCAGCAGGGCGCCTTGTTTTTATCGCAGTTTTACTGCGCGAAATGGCCGAATTTGATTACGTTTCTGATGAGCCATATAATTGCAGTTGCAGCCAAGAAACCGCCTTAGGGAAATCTTACAATTGAGCAAAATTGATGTATGTAAGGTAAATAGACTTCCTGTTCAACTACTTAACTGCCAATTTCGCCGAGTGCATGTGCAACAAACGCCGTGTGTGTTTCCGTGCCTGTTTGAGCGCAGCATTTTCTTTGGCAAAATATTTTCATTTAATTCGATGTTCTAGCCGAGGCATTAAAGTGCAATGATTTCCCATTAACGCCTGATGTTTCGGCTTTTTGTGCAGCCGCTTCAGCTGCTCAAATGTGCAGCTGGCCAACACGGATTTTCAATCTGCGCCTTAAGCTGTCATCTGAGCTCAGCTGGGGATTATAGTTTCGTCGACTTTATAATTCTCTATACGCATCAGCTGGCAGGTGATGTGTGTGAACTGCTCGATGATTCCTTTGACAATCGAAATCCCAAGCTCCTGGTGGTAATTAAACTGAAGCAACTCTCCAAGTTTGTGGCTAAATAATCATGATAATGGCTGCAGCAGCAGGCAGTAATTGGATATGTAGACAATGCTCCGGCTTCCTCTATTTGTTGCCGGAAATCCCCCCCCCGTTGCAGCCCCACTGCGGTTCTGGCCATGTCACTGGCCATGTTTTCTGGCGGTCCAGCAGGCAGTGTGTGTACTTTTTCCACTGCACTGTCATCAATCCGCTTCAGCTTTTAACGATGGGTGACATGGCGAGGGTTTGATTGTAGCTTTCATGCCCCAAGAGCCAGCGGCGAGGTCAAGCAGAGAGAGAGCGACGTGGCAAGCCTTTAATCCAATAAAAGAAATTAAGTATCAAATGGTCTATGAAGCCGTTCATTGATTGCCGTTCGTACATATGTATGTATCTGTGCAAATGTGAATCAAATACGTATACGTCATGTGGTCACCCGGTGAATGGCGGACAAAAACGCTGATCAATAAATATTGAGCGCGGTTATAAATTGGATTTCCATTGGTCTGAGGCAAGCCAGCGTATTGACTTACCAAATTGCTTTCACCCAAAGTCTATTGAAAGTGGGTTACTCATTTAGGCATTTGGGCATGGAACCCATCTTGTAGGCCAATGAAAAATATGAGCCACAAAGTGCTCTAAAAAGGCAAAAGGGCCAGCGAATTCACATGTCGAATTGACGAGCCATAAAATGAAATTTTTATGGCACTCCTCGCCCTTTCCAATAATATCAATATACAGCCATTAGACTCTAATAAAATGCAGGACCGGAAGCCGTCGAGGACTAATATAAAATCAAAATAAAACCCTCCACCACCTGCTCGCCATCCACAAATTGCCGGCCAATTGCTGGAGTCGATTCAATAATAATCGAGCCCCAATAAAATGATGATTGCCTGGGCTTAAGCTGCAGGATTCGGCGAGTGCTTTTGCGAGGGGTCCTGTGCCCCTTTTTGTGCACAACTGGAGCGAATATTTCGCAGGGAGCTTACTTCTGCAGTTGCTGTGAACTTCCCTTAATGACCGGAAGGAAGGCAAATGCTCAACTGAGCACACTCATTACAGACGCGAGTGCATTTCAAAAGCGGCATTAATAATGCATTACTTTAAGCTGTGATTATTTAATGGCGGCTTAAGGTCGGAAAAATGTCAGCTGCCAGTGGGTGCGCACACACGCCCACACACATAAAAGTGGGGAGGTCGAGAAAATAAAAACATTTCATTAAAATTTCATATTTCGAATGCTGAAAATCATATGCCAACAAACCGTTGACCGGCAAGGGCAACCGCCCACTTTTACATTGGATAAATGCCGGCGACGTCGTGTTTACACAACTCTGATTTCGGTTTTACAGCACGTATACGTAATATGAGTGTGCGGCGCTTTTTCACGTTTGTTTTTTTAATATTTCCATAATAAATACAAGTTCATAAATTGTTCGAGGCGGAGCTGAATGCGGGTCTTAAGCACACAAAATAAATAAACATATTATACGCCACTTAATCTCATTTAACAAATTCTCGTTTGCCTTTTTGCGGCGACGACGACAATAAAAGCGATCCGACTGGTGTGCATATTTTACAAAGAATAAAAAAGCACAGAATTCTGCCAACAACATCTGCAAAATTATGTCATTTATATGGGCAAGCACACTAAAAAATAGATGAAAACAGAAGCCCACACATATCCAGCTTCTGCTACTCTGGCTCCTGGCAGGACCTCCGTTTGTCCGGATAGACAAACAGAAAAGAATCTGCACAACTTTCACAGCTGCGAGGCGGAGAGATGGAAGTATAGATATGTATCTGCTGGGATGAAAACTATCTTGCCCGGCCACAGTGACAGCTGAAAGTATATGTCTACGCTGGCAGCAAAATGTTTCATGTTTATATTGCGGCATTTTACAATAAATTTCGCAGCCAACGAGAGGACACACATTTTGCTCTATATATTTTATTTTCCATCTGCTTATAGAACCACACTCGGCTTTTTGCACACTTCTCTACAGCTCTATCTCCATCTCTTGCAGGCAATTTCGTCCTTCTGTGGCGACGAGGAACAAATGTGCTCACTGCCTCCAACATTATGGTTACAAGGGATGAGCGCGTAAGACTGATAGATGGTTATAATTTAGAGATATCCGATTTGGAGCCTCAAGATGCCGGGGATTATGTTTGTCAAATCAGTGACAAAATAAATCGTGATCAAGTGCACACAGTTGAGATATTGGGTGAGTACACGTCGACATGTTTGCACAGCATTAGCTAACAGATTTGCATTTGACAAGTGCTCCTTAAGGCGCACACATCAATTAGCCACTGATTCACTGAACTGCCCCCTTTCCACCCCCAGTTCCGCCCAGTGTACGGGCCATACCCACATCCGGACAACTGCAGGCCCGCAAAGGAGGACCCATTACGCTGGAGTGCAAGGGATCTGGTAATCCGGTGCCATCCATTTACTGGACCAAGAAGGTTCGTTACACATCGCTTTGTGTGCTTCGCAGAACTCGAAGCCGCTTTAAGTGAATTTTAATTCATTTAGTTTAATTGAATTTAATTCAACTGTTTCGCCACTGTTTCGCATCGTTATGTAAATTTAAATTGCGTTCTCTGCTCCCAACGGGAGCTTGGAGCCGGAAAAACTGCGTGGGGTCAGTTGCTGAGCACTTTCCCTTTCAAATTTCACTTTCACTTTCACCCGCTTTTAAGCTCTTAAGAGCCCGCCAACTTTTCGCCATCGGTGGGGCAATGAGGGGGAAAGTTTTTCAGCCATTTCGGATGGCCAAAAGTTGGGCGTTATTAATTAAAAACGATTCGCCCACATTAAAGCCAGGTCTAGATAGGAATGCGTTGTGCTCTTTACAAGCTTTATACTATAAATCAACAACATATCCCATCACTCACAGTTTTCAACACATTGCCGCCGAAATCACAGCAAACAAAAAGTGAGATGATAAATCGCAGGGCACAACCATCTACGATTGCGGCATGTGGCTGTAATGGGAGGCAATTATGAATTCAACAAACACATAATTTTACGCATGAGCCAACAAGGGATAACATATTTGCCACTGGGCCGTACAAAGTGGGCCAAAACGGGACGAAAGCAGGCACAACGGCAGCGGGACAAACGAGTTTATGCCGACTTCTATGACTTGCAAATGCGGATGCGAGTTGGCAATTAGTTTTCGCTGCTAATTTCGAGAAGTTTATCAAGTTGTGCCAACTAGAGCATGCAGACACTACATTACACATTTGCCATTATACCAGTTGGGGCTATATATTCGGGATCCCAATCTGGCATTGATTCGATGCCAGGGAATTTACACTAAATCACTGTCAGCGACAGCCACTCGCAAATGCGAGAAGGTGAGACTGCAGGTTGCCAGGGGAAATGCTGGCTCGTACTCAAGGCGTAATTAATGCGATTCACAGACCCTTAAAAGTATGCTATATTCTACTGCCACCCGGCAGGAGCCAAGAAATTGCCGCTTGGCAACCAGTCTACTGACCCAGTCACTGTCAGTGTCACTCGACCAGTTAGCACTTTGTAGGGGCTACACTGGGAAAATGCAAAACAAATCGGACAAAAACCAGTCTAGTGACGAAGGCACTTCAACTTGCAAGGCAGCCAACTGAACGTTACCATGTCTTCATTTTATGTACTATGCATATGGCCTCGCATGTAGTAAATGCAGTATGAATCAAGACATTTAATGACATGGACTAGAGTAGAGGGCATCCATTCCTTTTTCTGACTGTACCACTTGCATTCACTCACAAACTTTCAATAAAGCAAGTGTCGGAGTCGTAAGCACTCCACGAATGTGTGTGCCATAGGAGTATATGTCCATGTCAGAACATCTACATTTGGGTAAAAGTCTCGTTTGCTGCACTTTGGCGCATTTGACATTTCCGTTCGATTTGTTTGCTCTAGGCAGGTACTATGAGTTGCCCCGACTCCAGCTCCATGGAGAAGTGCTTCTCGTCCTGCTCGCCCGGAGACACTGCCAGCTGGGTGTCATCCTACAGAGCTGCGTTCCATTTCAATCTGCCCCAGCATTTCCGTCGTGTTTTCGGCTGTCTTTGCAGCACACGTTGACACGTGTTTCCCCCGGGAGCGTCACTTCTGCCGCCCCTCCTCCAGAGAACCAAGCCATGGCAAAGCCAAGCCGAGCCATGGCAAAAGCCGTTGCCAAAGAAAAGACGCTCGCAGCCAGAAAGCCAGAAAGCCAGAAAGCCAAAAAGCTGACTTGCTACAACGCCCCTTTTGGCCCTTTGAGACCCGCTCCGATGTCTGTGTTTACATCCAGTTTGCATGCTCCACATCCAATATTTGTGCAACTTGCCCTTTGACCCCCTGCCCCGCCCCCTGTGCAGCAGGAGCAAGTTTTTCGCCTGCTCGTTCGGGGAGATGTCTTCATTTGGGTTTTGTTTCGTTTCATTTCGTTTCGTTTCCGCACTTTTTCGCTTGCCAACAGCATTTGTCTTTTGACATTTGCTACTTGCACTCTCGCCGACTTCATTTTAGCCGGGCCAAAAGACGTCGGCGATTGATTCAATTTGTTGCCACTCTGTTTACAAAGCGTTACAAAATATCCCGACCTTCTTGCACATATCCTTCCAGAGCGGCGCGAACAAGTCGACGGCCAGGATCGGAGACGGACCCATTCTGACCCTGGAGAAGCTGGAGCGCCAGCAGGCGGGAGTCTACCAGTGCACCGCCGACAACGGAGTGGGAGATCCGGTCACCGTCGACATGCGGCTGGATGTGTTGTGTAAGTGCCCCTTGACAGCTATTTAATTTAACTTTAATTCAATTGGTTGCATGATAGAAAGTACATTCCAACATAGGCCTTAATTTACTGTGTCAACCAGTGTTATAGTTTCAAGCAAAGAAACTATATTATTTTGGTGTATCTGCAAGTACTAAGTGCGAGTAGCTGTGCCGCAACGGCAGTCATTAATCATTGTGTAAATAAGGCAGAAACTTGAAATCCATTTGGGGCAGATCAGAACTTTGCAATTGAAACTGCAGATGTAAGGGGATAAAGAAAATCTAGCAGCCGGAGGCGAGGAAAAGTGTTTTGGGCAAAAGCGTACGGTGGGACTCGTAAATCAGTGCCTTAAAGCTGCTGACTGCAGCGGGAAAAGCAAATCCGGCTGCGAGTTGAGTAGAGAAACCGCTGTGCAGATACACGACTCCAGATACTAGACACTCAGATACTCAGATACTCGATGCATGCAACAATGCGGCACCACCGACTGATTCGATATAGACAAATGCCGGGCAGAAAACAATTTGAACGGGAAGAGAAAGCCGAGACCAAACGGAATCTTAGCAACTGTATATAAATTGATTTTTGACTGTAATCAGATTGCCGCTTCGTGTGCTAAATTCTTTCCACCGCCTCTCTCTTTCTTTCATTCCTTCTCTCTCTGTGTGTCCTTGCTGGCCATCCCGCAATCCTGCTGCGCTGCCAACCTGCAACCTGACGGATGCCTGGGTATCTGGGTGCAGATCCCCCGGATATACAAGTGGAGAAATCCTGGATACACTCGGGCGAAGGATTCGAGGCGAAGCTCGTTTGCATTGTTTTCGCTGATCCAGTCGCAACGGTTTGTTGGCTCTTTGAATGCACCGTTTCATTCGTTCCATTGTGCCCAGACAGTTTTTGTTATTTTTCGTGGATTTTTAGATTATTACGATTACGGGGCCATGGGCAGAAAAGGAATGGGGGCAGGCGGGCAGAGGCATCCTGCCTCCTCCTCCTCCTCCTCCTCCATCGCCACTTGCCATCGGTTTATGCAAGAACTTTGTTTTCCAGGTCACTTTTCCTGTTTTTCAGCTTTTCAGTTTTTCAGTTATTCAGCTTTTCGTTTCAGTTGAGTCCTGTTCTGCTGTATTGTGTCCTGTTCCCGTTCTCACAGGCTTTGTGCCAGGCTGGCTTGCAATTTCTTTTTCCGATTTCTTGCTGTGGCAAATTAATGCCATTTTTATTTGCCCAACTTTCATTTCATTTCGTTTCGTTTCGTTTCGTATCTTTTTTCGTTTTTCGTTTCGAATTGCGGACAGTCGGCAGAAGTTACTGCAAGTGGGTCAAATTTTGAGTTGAATTTATTAGTTGCTGCAGTCCATCGACATGTGCTCCATCTTCATCTCCATCGTGATCACCATCGAAAACCCAGCTAATCCAAGTCACTTCTCGCTGCAGGTGTCCTGGTACCAAAACTCATTTCCGATCCAATCGACGGACAGGCGCATCATGGCCACCAGAGCCAACCGGCACATGCTCACCATCCGCCACATCCAGCAGGAGGACTTTGGCAACTACAGGTGAGTCCTGGGCCGCGTGGTTCAATGGAATCCCAGCATCGACGAGGACAACTTGTGGCTTACTGTGAACTTTGCCGGCCAGCGTTGATTTAGTCAATTTGGCAACTTTGACTACAACTTATTTCACTTTTTGTCAGCCAGTTAGCAGCACCAAGTTGTAAGTTCCCACTTGTCTGGGATCGGGGCTTAGTCCTGCCGTATTTGCCACACTCGAACATTCGTGTAGCCACGTCCGGCTTCTGGGGAATAGTCTGTGCGGGGCGTGCCCCACCCATTTTGCGGACAAACAAGTTTTCCACATCAATGTCAATCTGTCTGAAACATATTAAAGAAGCGGAAGTTTCGCCATGTTGACACAACATTTCATGCACAAAGTTTTAGCCATCTTCCGAATGTGGGGCGATGTGGGTGAGGGTGCTAGTGGTGCTACTGGCGCCCATCAAACCACCTGGCCACCACCCACAGTGAGTGGCTTTGGTGCACACGACGTGTCGACGTGTTTGGATTAGTTGAGTCGAGTTCCCCAGTCGGTTGCCAGCCACTTGCCGACTGCCAGATCGATGCGGCCACTGGCCCACAGGGCGGATGGTTGTGCTGCCTCATGCCACAGGCCGTGCCACATGACGTATGAGTAATGCTGACAGAGTGTAATGCAAAATTAAAAGGAAATTACATTTTTGGCCGTGTGCAAAAGTGATTGCAGGCAAACATGACGCGCCCAGAAATTAACAACTCAAACACAGAGAGCTGAAAACTCGAAAACCAAAAGCCAATTAAGTCAATTAACCACTTAAGCCATATGCTAATTAGAAATCCCTTTCAGCTGCGTGGCGGACAATTCGCTGGGACGCTCCCGCAAATACATGGAGCTCTCCGGACGCCCCGGAGCCGCCGAGTTCTATTCGCCCAAGTGGGGTCATTCGCCGGACAGCTACAATCTGACCTGGAAAATCGATAGCTACCCGCCGCTGGAGGAGGTCCGCCTACTTTACCGTCGAGTGCAGGTGAGTGGAGGGCGGGATAATGGTTGGGAAGCCACTGGCAATCCGATATGAAAGGAGTATATTCAATTAATTAATGGTGAAGCATGCACAAAGCCCGATCCCGCCAGACTGACAACTTGACAATCTGCTGGGAGATGCTCCACGCGCCAAGCAATCCGATACCTTGACATCTTGTCTGGAGACGGGCTTTTATATTTGGCGAGCACTGTGCTCACTAACGAAGCACGTGATTAAAATTACACTCACAAAGATGTCTTGAGAAATCGACATCCAATGCGCTGATAAAGGAATTAAGCCCCATGTAAGGAGGACTGCAAGGGAACAGATACAAATGTAGATACAAAGTGGGCTAATTATGTGGGCACAGAAAGAAACTCGAAAATTATTTTCAATGTAGCAAAAGTACACACAAAAAAGAAGAGTGCTGTTCAATACTCATGTCGGTGTAGACACACAAAAATGCCGCTTAATTGCGACTCTGGGCTGTACAAACAGGCAAATCGGGCGAGCTGGGTCACGAAATTTAATGAGATTTCAACTCACGGACACTTGGCGCTGAATGTGGAGCTGCAGTGGGCGGGGATAATTTTTCCCTGCATTCATGCGCCATTGAAGTGCAATTATTGGAGGACTTTCCGCCGGGGCGGCGTATCAAGTGGCAGGAAGGAGCAGGTGGGGCAGAAGCTGGCGGTGGAGGAGACTTAATTGATGTGATAGCTGTCATAACCTGATCGGGCGCTCGCAGCGGAAATCATTTGGTTTCCTCGCGCAGGACATAAAATTAATTATGGAATCAAAGGAAAACTGTCAATGGTGGAGTCCGGCACTTAATTTGGCTCTTCGTCCCGTTTCGTTTCGTTTCATTTCGTTTCGTTTCGCTTCAGATGAATGAGACGTACCAGCAGCCGGGCAGGTGGCACGACTTCATCCTCACCCCGGAGCACCGACCGGCCTCGGAGCCCCTCACACACATCATGTCCTACACCATCAAGAATCTGCATCCGGGCGGCTACTACGAGGCAATTGTGCAGGCCAAGAATCGCTACGGCTGGAACGAGGTGAGTTCTCCAATGCCCATAGCTGCGGCATAAATCTATGCGAGTGTCCTGTCCAGCTCGGTGCGACAGGGCGGCTACTTAATCTTGATTTTGTGCCACTTTTCTTTGCTCAACCCACTGTCTGCCTCTCGCCCTCAACCTGCAGGTCAGCGATATATTTCAATTTGTCGTCGCCAACAACAGCCAGGACCTCGGCCCCGAGGACGCCGAGGTGGTGGCCAGCTCCAAGTCGCGCAGCAATAGTGCCTCCATGGGCAGCCTGCCGGGATCCAGGGTGCTGCACACGGCGCTTCTTCTGGCCCTGGCCTTGAGTAATTGTCAGTTCGACAGACGCCGACTGGGCCTGGGATAAGCGGTTCAGGCGGCAGACGATCGGGATCAGGATCGAAACCAGGAGCAGCACAAGACAAGGGGAATCACTCGCACTTGGAGGAGGAAGTGGCCGGGGCAGGACGGAAACAAGCAGTGTATAGAAATCCAGGGGAGGAATAGAAGATTTTATTGTACACCTACCCCGTCAGCCCAGAGAGCAAGTGAATCCAGCCCTACACTAAGCAACAAAGACGCGGAGAGATGGCAAACCCACAAGCTGAACGAAAAACCCATGTAAATAATTTTTCAAGAGTTTTGTCCACGATTAAATTAGCACACACCCCATCACACACATACAGCCGGAAAATGGTTAATGGAAATTGCAATTGGAGAAGGCAAATCCACCATCCAAAGCCCACCCCCAGTTCCATCCCCATGGTAGAATAAGTCGAACTAGGTCATGTAAATAAGCATTAGATATCTGAATGTGAACTGCATTTTACTTCATAAATGTTGGGCTGATGTGCAGGATGTGTATGTAAATTAAGCAAACATTATATAGTGATATTATTTAGTTTCGAGCGAAACCATAAATAACAAAATATTGGCGATGAAATAAAACAGAGAAGCCACACACCGCAAAATGTTAGTATGTAAAGTATTTGCCACGTTTCCGTTTTGAATTCGAATTCGAATTCGCATTCACATTCACATTCGAGATCGAGTTCATTTCAGTTCTATTGCCACTTTTTCGATTGCAGCTGTAGTCTTATTTTAGCCAGTAAGCGCACCCATAACCAAAAGGATAACAACGTAACAGCAATTCAATGTAATGTTTTTCGATGTAAATTAGAGTTTAAGCAACGTGTTGTACCACCAAAAGAAAGGCGAAAGGTCGAAATATAGCGACGCAAACTAGCTAATCCCCCACTCAAAATCGGAATCTGAATCTGAATCGAAATCGGAATATTATTCGGAGTATTTGAATGTGAATCTTGCATACATATTAGTAGTCACTCGCGAATGTCACGAGCGTCGACCTGTAAATATACATAAATACGTGAATAATATTGAGTGTTGCGAACCCAGCAGGCATTTTATCAGCTTTTGCACCTTTCCAATTGTACGATCCGCATCCGTACTGTTTCATTTAGGGCACACAATAGAGGTCAAGGGTCACTTGTATATTTGATGGGCCGCGGCCTGCAGCTCGAACTCGTACACAACCTTCTGTACTTAGCATGTCGATCGAACGAGGCCAAAACCAAAACCGAAACCGAAACCGAAATCGAATTGAAAACCAAGTAAAAGCGTTACAATTTATCTACATAAATGTGTATGTGTGTGTACCTTACTTAGCCAGTTGAGTGCAGGATGCAGGACGAATCGGAGGCGTTACTACAGATTACATAGTTGCGGAGGGTTCCGAAAAGGATCCACTCCGAACCTAAATACCAGTATAATTCAGATTAAACAGATATAGCTAAGCACGCGACCGGTACGTGTTCATAAAAAGTGAATTCATTAATTACTAACTACATAGTACGATGCTAATTGTATGATTAATGCGCATAAGAACCCTAAAATATTCAAAATAAAATAAAGCATTAGATGTAAACTAAACTATGCAATTTGGTTTCATTTACCCACGTTTACGGATTTTCTGAACTTTCAGCTTGTTAGTACAAACCTCTTTCCGGCAAAAGCAATATTTATGTTTGCAAATCATCAGCATTCACAAAGGCGAGGGGGGTAACCACTTTATTTTATTTTATTTTCCTGTGGCGTATACCTTTATTATTTCTCTTCAAATATTGAATTCAGCTGCAGCTTAGCCAGGGATATGGCTTAATACATTTGTGTGTATATCGTTTTCAATTTTCGTACAATTTCAAGAGGCCCTCAAGTGCTTGCCAGCCATAATGCAAGTCCTAAGTATGAAATTTAAATGTGTCACATCCTTTGTGCCAGTCAGCAGACTAGCAAACTTTCTGCAAATTCATATGAAAGTACATAATCATCGATGGCAATGCCAGGTCTTTTCTGTCGATTTTCTCCCAAGGACTTCGCCTCAAGCACTTCTAAGCTCTTTCAAAAATCCAACCCAAAGCTGACCGGGGCCACAAAAGGGACCCAGCAACGTGGACATACGTGCACGGTTTAAATTATTAAAAGTTTTGCATTTGGCAAAAGTTTATGCATGAAATTTCATAGGCGGCCAAACTACTTGAGCTGCGTTTTTATACAGGCGGATACTAGCGCTGCAAGTTGCATTTGGAACGGAGCGCAGGATGTCCGGATGCCAGTTACTGGTTTCCAGTTAGCAGTTACCAGTTGCTAGTGCCCAGATGTCCCACCACGTCGGCGTATTTGCATGTTGGCGGGCCCACTGGATGCCACCCTGCAAGTTTGCCGGGTGCAAACTTAGTGACCATTATGCATGCAAGTCTCAATATATTGCACATGAATTTTAATGAAAATGGTGTCGTTGAACTGGCCCAGAAAATGGGGACATTTCGCAGAAATATGCTGTGCAGCCGGGAGTGTGGGGGCAACTTTTGCAAATCATATCGCATAATTGGCGGGCCACAAGCGACTCTTTCCAGCCATTTGCATTGGATTCAGTTGGATTCAGCCCAGGGACAAGTTTTGGCGCATATTAATTAGCTCGTTTATCATTTGAACACTTTTCCAACAGCCAGCTAGAGAGCAGTGCACTCGAAGCAATGTAAAATTAATTAAGTTGCGCCACAAGGAAACTCTTTCACTTACCCCATTCATTTCCATTGGTATTCATTTCAAAGGAGCGCGCCAGCAATAAAGAATCGCTGCGAAAAAACTGTTAACGAAACGAAAATGAAATCATAATTAATATTGGTGAAATTGGCAAAGTGCAGCGCGCACGATGCTGCTGCGGGTGGCACTAATACCACCACTTTGGTCCTTGCCACAGGACCCGCAATCCGCAGACAGGAGTGCCAAAGGAGCAGGACGAGCCATCCAGTCAGCCAGTCAGTCAGTCAGGCAGTTTTGTTTGGCTGGCAAGCAGGCGTCAAGGCGAGCAAGATCCAAACTTTTATAATTAAAATTTTGCAGCTCGGTATTTTCGCTTTTTTCGATTATTTTTCGCTTTTTTCGCGATGGCTGGCGTAAAGAGAGAGTAGAACGCAGGCAAATCATAAAGCTACATGGCAGCCAAACTTTGCCGTTCAAGTGCGAATTAAATTAATTTTCAACTGATTTGATTTCTGCGAACAGTTATTGCTAAAAACGCAAGTTTCAACAATTGCCGATGGAAAAGTTACACTTTCCGCCAACGTCCACTGTGGGCCGGCCAATCAAGGGGAATGTCCGGCAAATTAAACTAAATTGCGCTCTGAATGCCAATAAATTAAATTGGCCAAGGCAAACAACGAAGTGGAAACTCAAGAATTTCTCATATACTCGCACACTATTGGCCGGGTCAAAGGCAACCGCACAGTGCCAACTAACACTATGGCAACGGAAGAATGTGTCGAAAAGGCGAGTCCGGGATCCGGGATCCCAGGACCATCAGTTGTCCTGGGCAACGCACAATAATTCAATGAAATGCGCCGGTGGGTGGTGTGCACACCACGCAGTCCTGCGACCAACCGAATTTACATAATTCTTGTCTTGCGAACTTGGGAACGGGCCAGCCTGATATTTATGGGGGCAACTTAATGGCGGTTTAAAACGTTGCAGGCGAGCAGAAAGAAATCGCTGTAGGATCCTTGTTTCCGCACACACACACCCACACACACACACACACACACACACACGAGCGCAAGCATTATGCTAAAACAAATCTACATAATTTAGGAGTAGGCCGCCAGGACAAGACAACATTTCCACTCAAGCAGCCCCCATGCCCCGCCTGTCATGGACGCACAAATCAAAAGGCGGGCTCCATCTCCGTTGGAGCAAATTGTTTGCGGATGCTAAGAAAAATTTGTACATCAATCGATTTTGTTTGATTTTTTCCCAGCTCGACCGCCTCTGCGCTGAGTTGGCCGCAAGAGATTTGCATAATTCATGGCGCTGATGGCTGGCGAGGACTGGAGCACGATGTGGGGTCAGGCTGAGTGATTGGGTGGGGCCAGAGATGTATCTGCCTGATTGCTTTGAGTGGCTCATTTCGCACAGTCCGCTCCGGCGGTGGTGGGGGTAAATTGGAAAAGTATGTCTATGGCACCCTGTGCCCCGCAGGATTGCCTTCCACAGAAGTCACCGTCACCGCATCTCGGAGCGGCTCATTTTCGCCTCGACCTGCGTGCGGCACGTGAGTGGAGGAAAAACACTCTCGTATAGTTTTTTAATCAGCCTGCAACATGCAAAACCAATGACAGTTACCCTGTCTGCGTGCCGCAAAAGAAATGCCGACGAAAGGCAAACAAGTTGGCCCGTCAATTTCAATTTATATTCTAATGACATATTGTTGCTGGCATTTTCAATTCCGCCGCCTCGCGCGTGTGACACAAACCCAAAAACGCAGAGCGAAGGAGCAAAGGAGCGAGCATTAGGGGACTCCTGGCGAAATTTAAAAACAATTTCCCAAACTCGCCCCAGAGATTTGTATTATGTTTAACTCATTTTCATAAAGCGCGCACAAAGAGACGGGACTTGTGCGAAAGCGAGCTGAAATCATAATGCGAAAACAGCCACAGCCAAACGCGGCAGCTGCAGAAGCCCCGCACTCGAAGCCGCGACAAAGTTCAGGCAGAACAAAAGTTTATCTCGCACTTTGTTTGCATACACAAAGCCCAGGCAGAGGCGGAGCATCTGAATCCTGCTGCCAGGACTCGCTGCACAGGAGTGCGCGGCGGAAACGCTGCTTTGGGATGGTCCTCCGCCAGTTTGCCGGCCTCCTGCCGCCACTGTCTTTGCTCCTGGCTAAGACAAAGAAGCCCCGCCGACCGCCGACCGCCCGGCGTTGAGCGATTTCTTTTCACAGAGATAAATGCCAGAAAGTTGGGACAGGCGTGGTGAAGCACGTGGACTTACACTGAGCGCAAGTTACCGGCATGTGCCGTGGAATTAGCTATCTTACGCTCCATCTATCTTAAGGGTAGATAGGAATACCAAAGCAGCAGAAATGGTTACGCAAAGGCCTGGCCACTTTCTGCCAGTGTAGCGCAACTGAATCTGCTGCAGCTCCACCTGGCGGAGAGTCTGGCATGGCTGAGTTTCCGCCCCGGGTCGTGCTCTTAAAGCCCCAGCCACTCACTCCATTCACTTGTTGGCCTTAAGTCGGCCATGTAAAATAATTTACAGAGCTGCATTGCAAATGACATTGACTTTTCGCCCCTGCAGTTTCTCATATTTCGTGCGGCAGACTCGCTTGCGTTTTGCGTACCACGTCACGCTCGCTTCCTCCGGATTGCCTGTGTGGTGCACATTTGAGGCCCTCCTGCCCCCCTCCTCGTCCTCGCTCCACTGGCCAATTGACCAATGGCTGCTTATCAGGCGAGAACATGTTTCCATGTTTCCATGGAATTTCATTAGGCTTCAGCTCGCAGTGGCCAGAGTCCTTCGCCCAGTCCTGTGCCCCTCCTGCCACTTGGCCAAAAGCCTAATGGTCGGTTGTTGCCCTTTTTTTATTACGTAGCCACTGGTTGTCGCACCGGCCGCGTTGGCTAATGGCGTTAGTTCGTTAGCCAAGCGATAAGATTGGCGAGAAGGAGTTTTGCGGGACTGCTCACAATCACCAATGTTTGTGGCAGGAAGCTCTTTAATTATGAAAAGCGTACCGTGTTCAAGTTGTGGCTTAAGTCTACTGAACGAACTCGGCAGAATCGGACAGACGCATGGCTTTCATATTTATTTATGAAAACCAATTTTGTGTCACCTGCTGGGAAATTTTCACACTTTGCCACACTTAAAATGTCTTCACAATAAATCAAAAGAACTGATGAATCACATTTCGTATTCAAGCTTATGCAAGCGAACGAATATTTATGTAGAAACATGAATTTTATTCATGACTCACATGGCCTTTTGCGTCAAGCAGCACTACATTTTGTTTTATACAAAATAAGCTCGTGCATTCACAACAAAAATTGATTAGTAGTAATCGTTGATATCACATAACCAAATCTCAAGTTTTCTGCAATGGGTCAGACCATAAGTAGATCAGTCGAGTCCAGAGAGTCCATTATTGCCTACAGAAACTTCCTGAAACTCTACAGAAATCAGCACAGACAAATGCGAACCAATGATGCGTTTTCCAATGCAGCGCGTGTTTGGGGAACTTTCTCGCCGGCTCAGCGGAATCGATATGCTCATATGGTAAGTACTTCCTTAAGCCGAAAGCACTTGGAGCCGCATTCATGTACCACACCTTTTGCAAGGGCTCCGTCACCAAGATTATTATGGATGTGCCCAAGCGGGTGGCTCCCAAGAGGGCCAACAAGATGGCCGGGAAAGTGGCTGCTCGCAAAAAGGTGGTTAAAAAGAATCTCAAGGCGAAGAGAGTTCCTCAGCGGCGAGCTCGCGATGTGGTCACCTCCTATAGGCCGCTAATCGGCAGCAGAGCTCCCGTTGCCGGCGTTAAGAAGATCTCGAACAAGGAGGCAATTAGGGAGAGCTTGCTGCCCTCGAATGGCTTTCTAAACTTCATGGAGTTCTACCATGAGATACATCGCGAAATGCCGAAATCCTTGGCGGTGAAGGAGGCCGTTAGTGTCTGGAGCGATATGAACGTGGAGCAGCGTGGCATTTTCAGCATGGACTTGTAGCGGGTATCTCCTAGTCACCATGTCACCCACTTCACTCAATCAATGCCCCACGCATGGCCGCCTGTCACGAGAGATTCCAATTCGGAATCAAGCCTAGCCAAGCGGTTACACAATCGCCGTGAGTTCCGCGCCCAAACACATGTACACTCCATCACGCAACCGGCGGCACGAATGTCCAGAGCAACAGTGGGAGTAGAATAAACAACAGCAGGAGCAGGAGCAGGAGCAGGATGAGGGGCAGAAATATAAACAGAAACAGAGCCCACAATCATTCACATTTAAATTAACATTTCCCGCCGACGATTATCCTAATTGCGAGCTGAGGCCGCTCGTCCTGGCCAAAGATGTGGAGTATGCGCCGCCTTGTATTTAATATTTACATTCGCCTCGGTGACGGCACGCGAGTCGGCTAAAAAATGGATTCAATGTAACGCGAAACAAGCGAGGCCTCATAAAAATGAAATGCGGATAAATCAAATTAGCATTTTGTACAAATAGCAAAGCATTAGCTCGCGTACGGCGGCAATTTGTAATGCCAAAGGCCGCATGAATGAGTCCTGGCAAAGGACATGCAAGCAGTTCGTTTTGGAGGTCATGCCAAAAAGTGATTGCATAATTACCCGGCCTCGGATGTTGCAAGATCACATTCCCGAAATGAACATTAAAACTAATGGCACGAGCCGCAGCCAGACATCCCGATTCAATTAGACTGCTCCTGCGGCCAGGATAACCACTCCACGGGTCAAGTAGTGGGTCAGCGCTGGATTTTTGTGGGCCAACTCACTCGCTGCTCTGCTGGCAAATGTTCGTGTTTTACTACGGCGACTTTATTGCAACACAATGCTATTTTAAGTGCCAGCAATAAAAATGATTTATTACCCCACAAAGGCGACCATCGAAGGCCTTGAGCATGTGATTCTCTGGCTATTTTGTTTTCCCATTTTCCCATTCGGGGCAATTAGAATAAGAAATGCATGTGATTCCCGCGAGCCTGAAGCTAAAATTAAAGGATATTCTGCGCTGCGCGTAAAGTACATTCATCAATATCTACTTAGCCCAAAGTACACTCACCGTTGCACGGGAATTTTCCGAGTAAAAGCTTCGATATGCAGTGCGAACGTTGGCCCTGAAAACCTTTTTCTGGGCTGACAACTTCGGGGGAAATTTTTAAGTGCAGCAAGCACAAGAAGGAAGCTGCACACAAAGTTGAGTGGAGGGCGAAACTATGCCAAATGTGCAAAATGAAAACTTTTAGGCAAACAATGCAAGCGGAAAGCGGGGGGCGGAGGGCGGTGGGCGGAGTGGGTAATGTCAAATGTGGGTTAATATGATTTATGGAAATTTGCCAGCCTCGCATTGGGAAAAGCACTCGAGCTGCTGCCACCGCCTTTGTGTGCTTGCCGGTTTCCCAGGTGACTGCTCCACCTGGCTTCATATTTACGCCACCCAGCCCAAGGAAAATCTCGAACCACATTTGTCTGCCGGATGGGACATTTTTACTTTTTGCTCTAATTTGTCAACAGAAACAGTTGACGTTGGACTCAATGCAGTCAGCAGCCCGCATAATGCCAGGCATTTTGGTGTCATTGTTAAGGAGCAGTCACACAGTCACACAGTCGCACTCGCACTCACACACCCACACCCTCACACAGACTAATGCACACAAAGAGAGAGAGAGCCATTTGCCAGCCGCTCTGCCATGTCATTGTCATTTTGGCCAGGAGCTGGTGAAAGGTTTTTCATTTGACAAATGCTGATTAAGCGGCCGACTGGGGCAAAAAATATTTTCTCATGAGCGCTCTGGGTTCTGGGATCTTGGTTTCGGTTCTGGTTCTGGGGGGGATTGGATGCAATCCGAGCGAGCAAGTCATGTGTGTGCACTTTAGATGTCTGGAACCGGTCTAGGCCCATTCAATCAAGTCGGGCCACGGGGAACCAGTCGGCAGATGTGCGAAATATGTTCCCAACATTATCCAGATTGCCAAGGCTAACTGCGCTGTGCGCTGTGCGCTGCGAGGAGTGTTCGGGATTTCGAGATTGAAAAGTCAACATGGCCGAAGGTGACAGCAAAGCCAAATAAATGGACATGACACGCATATTTAATAGCAGAGCCTGCCCGGCTGCACTGCGCACAATTTCGTGTGCATTTGAAGCCAGCTCATGCTGTATCGAAGCTTGTCAAGTAAATTATAGAAATGGACTTGTATTTTCCTCTCAGTGTACCGCCCCCCATTCCAGTCGCCCAGCGCGCGTGGCCCATGTCACATTTTGGCTGATAGGATCGGCTGAAAGGCCAGGGGTGGCGAACTGGCTTGTTATGATATTTGTGTTGCCTTTTTCCTGATTTTATTGTGTGAATATGTGGCACATTATTCATGATTAGGCGGAGGCCGTTTGCTCGTCGTTTTGTGTGCCCACGGGTGCGTGTGAGTGTGTGGTGTTTACCCACTTTGATTGGCTGACAAGGTGGTGGCAGTCCTGGAAGTCCTGCCGCAGGATGCCTGGCAAGGTGCCCTGCCCATTCATCAGAGGGGTAATTAGTCGCACCAGATCCGCTGGCGCTAATGAGGCCAATAACTCAATTGCGGCCAAATAAAGTGCCCGAAACGAGGGCCACACAAATCTCGCAAGTTTAAAAGCGTTTACACACCATTTAAATCAAAATTAATGCCACCTGAACCGGGAAGTTGCCCTTTCGGGAGGGCACTAGTTGTATTAGCCGGCATCATTTCCTTTTAATGACGGCGCGCTTCGTATAAACTTTTTAATTGCAAACTTCAATTACAATTAACGAGCGCAAAGGCTGGGCCAAAAACAGTAATAAAAAATAGAAGAAAATCCCTACTTATCTGCGCATTGTTTTGTTTTGTCCGAGCCAGCGTTTGCATAATTGGCCCGCCAAGGAGCCAGTTCTATGGAACTGCCTTGGCCATCCGTGGATAATTAAGAATAATAATTACCTACCAAGCTGCAGTTTTCGCGCGTCTGTCTTGGCCCTCATTTCCAGCATCTGTGGGCCACGAATAATGGTAATGCAAATGCAGTGCACAACTAATTGCCAATCGATATCTCACAATTATGTGGTAATCCACTCAGGAGGAGGCATTCAAATTAAATTGAAACGAAACGAGACGAGAGCAGATCCAGTAACTTTATGTGTGCCCCCAAGTTTGGCCGCTATTTGTTCTGCTCGAGTTGGAAACACAACTCGGCAATTGGACTGCGTTGCCAACTTTGTTTCACTTTCCCACTCGCGGCTTCTAATTTCGCTTTTGGCCCCAACTCCTCAGCTGTTGACAAAATAAAAACTTTTCAATTTGACTTCTTGTTTGTCGAAATGCGAAAGTTGCGCATGAATAAGAAAGGACCCCGCCGACGAGAACAAAAAGCACAACAAGGACAACAAGGTGGATTGGTCATGTGCTGGCTGCTGAGGGGAAATTTAAATTCCAGCCCGGATTCCACTCAGATTCAGAAATCATTAAGCAAGCGGGCGAGCAGTTGTGCCGAAGGTGCGATGTGGCCTAATGGCAGCCAATTCAATTATGCTATTGTTGCACAAGTCCTTTCAGGCTTTTTGCCTGCCACTCCATTTGCTGCAAACAATTTTCAATTTCCAATTTCCAGCTGCAACGTGCTCGCTGCCCTGTGTTGGCCAGCAACAACTTCCAACGGCGGCAGGGCTATTCAATTTCGTCAAACACCAGGCAATAAATTGTCATAACACACGGACCAGCTCCCTATGTCCCTTTGTCCTTAGTGCGGCGCACTCTGTGATTCAAAAGGATATATGCCGTGTGTGTGCGAAAGTCAATCAATGCGAGGCCCCAACATAATGGAGCCCTGCATTATCCTTTCCGGCAACCGCTATCGAACAGGCCGCAATGTGTGACAGTATCTTTGCATGTCTTACTGACATTTAACATTTGCGTTTCGTGTTTCGAGTTTCGTACTCGCTTCGCGGTGAGTCTGTTTGCAGTTGCAAAATACCCCTGATACTCCTAGATACTCCTGTTTTTATACATCCTCTCTTGTTTTTTCTGCCTTTTTGGTCCTGGCAAATAGACAATCAGCGCGACGGGCGGTCCAAATTGAAACACAAGCATTGGGTGCAGTGTGTCGTTGTCATACAAGTTTTAGATTGCGTGCACATGTCCCTGGCAACCCATCCGGATGGCAAATTGAAATTTTTTCCACCGATCACAAACAAAACAGCTCAATAAAAAGTGTCAAATTGGGCAGCCAGCCCCGCCCTTCCGCCGCCCAAGGGGCGCAGTCAAACTTCAGCAATTGGCTCTTGGCCCTCGAATGGCCTCAATGGGCCCAAAGCACATCCCTCAATCGCTCCAAAGAGTGTGGCAATCTTTTAACTACTCATTTATGCGCTTTAAGTGCAGTCGAGTTCGAGTCCTGGCTTTTTATCGGCTGGCCTGTTGGGTGCTGCGATTAATTGGCCGCGTTTCGCTGTCGACGGTGAGTGCAGTAACAATAGGTTGCGATACACTGCGATTGGCGGGGGGTAATAAGCATCCGACAAGGATTAATAAATAATAGAACAAGACAATCGAATGGCTTGCTTCCTGTATATATTGAAATATCTCTTATTTTGAAAGTGATTATTGAAATTAATTGTATTGACATGACTCAAACGATTAGCTCCACACACACGGCCATAAAAAGATGTTCATTAAACACTTGTAAAATGTACTATTGATGGTTATATTTTCAAAGCAGTAAACGTGTTTTAAGTGCTACTTTAGCTGCTCGGAAAAGCGTAATAAATCAACATTTGACCACCACAACCGTAAAAATAATTGTGCTTTGGTAATTAATCGTTATTCGCTGATAGCTTAGACATTATCCAAATTAGTGATGATTTATTGTGATGATATGCTGAATTCAAAATGCTGCTGGTACATTGAAGATACTGTCTAATATTATACGTTTCATATCTTTTCATGTTTTCATATCTTTCAAATATCAGTCTTTTCCACACAGCACCGACTGTAATAAAAGCCTTAGCCATTTTCCATATGCGTAATCCCTTTAAAGAAATAGCTGGGTCATATGGCCTGGTGTTCTGCGGATCGAGCACAACAATAACTTTGGCAAACACGCCGGCCAGCAGGCAACTGCAGTTGGCCCTCCATTGTGCGAGTGTGTGTGTGCGTGTGTGTGTGTGATTGTTTGCTGGCCAATGGACCGACGTGACGTATACGTAATATTTCATTTCATTTGTACAACGCACATACAGGGCGCTGTGTGCGCTCACCGTTGGCCTGGCCATGAAGGACACACACACACCTACGCAGAGGGATCCTGCACACTGCGCTATATGGGTCTACTCGTATATATATCCGTGTATATACATATAGGATAGGAAGGATGGGGGCGGGAGGAGCGACTTCGGCGACGCGTACACGTGCCTACATCGTTTGCACAAAGGTTCAACACCGTTATTTATTTAATTGCATTCAATTTGCGGTTAATTGTTAAACAATGGCCAACAATGACTGCGCTCAGCCTTTGACTGAGTTCGTTCGTTTTGCATTATGGGCGGCCGAGCGGGCCAGAACGAGGGGGGCGTGGCTTGGCCAGTTGGCCGAGTGTGTCGAGTGCGCTGAGTGTGTTTGTTATGCAAACAAGTACAAGTGCGGTTTTAATTGAACTCAAGTGAGGCTGAGCGCTGAATGGCCGCTCGATTTTTACATGAATGCGGGCAAGTGTGAAGTGGAGAAAGCGCAGAAAGCGGAGAGAAAGCGCAGAAAGTGGGGTGAAAACGGGCGTGGCACGGACTAATGAGAGGGGCCCAAATATTTGCACAAATAAAATGTAATTAGCTTTTAAGCCAGCCAACGTGCAGCTTAAACAGTACGGGAGGCCATAAAACACACCAATTTGTTTGCACCAGTCCGAATATCTATCTATATATCTGATTTTATGGTGCCCGCTGCAGTGACAAATTGCAGGACCAAGTGCCTGTGCAAAAACTAAAATAAATAACAATCAGCTGCCGGTTCACGGCCATCCTGCCACTGCGAAAGTGCGCTTATTACCATTTACCGCATGGCAGCGAAATTAGCGGGCATAAACCAAAACCATTGTTATCGCTCCGCCACCGTCGACCAGCAACATTTGCATTCGAATTGGAAATAGAGTAACTGCGGACTCCATTGGGCCCTAAGCGGCCCAAAGTGGGCGGCATTGGCAGTTAGCATCCAATTAAAATGCGGCTAAAGTGCATCAATGTAAATACTGCAGATCCTGCGTTCGGCCCACTCCCGTGTGCACATTCAAAATTCAAACAAAAACTATAATCGCTTTGGCAGGGATTACAACACACAGGAACATGCTATGGATCCAGCACCATGCTCCTGGCCAAAAGCGACCTGCCGGCTGAGATTTCCGATGGCCGATGGCCAAGGGCCGATGGCCGACCGACTGACCATCCAAATCCGCATCGATTCGCCCGCCGCCTCCTGCGGTCATGTGCAACATGCGAATTATTTTTACGTTTATCGCAAATTCAATTCAATTGCGATAATAATAAAATTTATTCGCAGCAATTTGTTTCTCTGTTTGCTAAGCGAGAATTCAGCAATTTAGTGGCTGTCCAACAGCAAATTATAATCATGTGCCTGACAGCGTCGGCTTGGCTAAAATTGAAATTATATAATCACATACACCAGTAGCCAAACACACCGAACCCATCGCAAATATGACTGCCATTTTAATGGCCAACAAAGAGGCTCCCATAGACAATACAAAGTGTCTTGTCTTTGGGCCAAGGCCACTAACACCCAAATATGTCCCATTAAGGGCACCTCAACACGAGTTCTCCCTTTTCCATGGGTGGAGCCCACTTATCGTCATCCAAAGGACAAAATTCCAAGTTTCTGAGGCACACTATTTATTCCGCATTCACACACACAGATTTTATTACAGCCGAAAAGTGGCAATCGAAGACAGAACCGAAATTCTGGATATAAAAAATAATACGAAGGCAGGTAAGATAAGTTTCCTTTCATTATGTTTAGCACAGCTTTAGTTATTTATTATATATTTATATTATTGTTAATATTATTTAGTTATTTATTGCAAGCTATATATTATAGGATATCGGTTAGTCTGCCCCTTCGTTGTGCTCCACCAACATTCTGTACGCTTATCACTCTGTGTACCTCTCATCTTTTGTTATGTTTTATGTCGCCCGCTGGCTATTTGTGCGCCAATGCATTTGTTTCGATATGCCGCACATATAAAATAAATTTAATAGATACTTGGGCCAGCTTAAACCGATTCGCTCGAAGTTGCAGCACAGCTGAATGCCGCCGCTAAAACAAACATCCGAGTCATCAGCCGGAAATGGGATACAAGCTGAGTCCTTGTCTGGCCTTCCTTCTGTGCTTGCCAGCTCCGCTGACCTCTGACCCCTCAACCCCGAATCCTGAATCCTGATGCCCAATAGCGACAGATTCGCTGTGGCAATAAATCCGCCAAGGAAGTGGGTGGCCCAACAAAAGAAAAACTGGTGAAGTGGCAAAGAGTTGCGATTGTGTAAACAAATATATTAGGGGGCAGTCAGAGGTGTTGGTTGAAGGGGCTCTGAAACTGGAATCATTAGATCAGAAAAATGAGCAATAGCTCTAAATATTTTCAAAACGGAAGCTCATGTCTTGCGTACTTTAAAGCAAAACTTTAATACAGCTTCCTTTGGGCCAAGTTGGCTGCCACGTAGTGAAACGAATGTTTATAGCACTAATTTTATTTGTTAAACTAACAAAAGAAGCAGCAGCGACGACGAGCTGGGCAAATAAATGTGTCTCAGAAACGATTGAGCGCACAGAGACAGTCATATAAACAGAGGGACATAAAACTCATACGACATGTGGGCCAGCAGGCACTTGGCAATGCGTGAGCGTGAGAACATGCCACTTCATTCACGCCCCGGAAGTGCCCCGCCCACTGGCCACGTGCCGCCCAGCCCTCTCCCCCCCCACCAGTGGAAAACTCCGTCCGGACAGCAGTTGAACCGAAAGGCAAAGACAAAGAGGAGCTGAAACAAAAAGACCGGGATACGGTATACAGTTGCGCCTGCCGAACAATTTATACGACTATTTGAAGTTGGAGGACTGAGTAAATGCTGCCTAAGTGTGCGTAAATCTATGAGGACACCCGGTCTCCCAGGCGTCCCAGTCGTCAGGACTCCGGAGCAGCTCGAGAGCCCATCGAAGGATTTCGACTGTCTCCATTGTCGCCCGGCCACCACTCGTTCGTCCTCCCAAGTGTTAACACATCGTTGCCGTCGCCCCGACATCCCGATTTCGTCCCGATTTCGTCCCGATTTCGTCCCGTTCTCCAGTTTGTTTTTATGTTGTAAAGCATTTTCATTTGTTTTTTGTCGCCTCCACTCCTCGTGCGTCTTGGCGATTGAGATATTCACTTCTGTTTGACTTCAAAATTGATAGTTTTAGCCAGATTATGATCTGTTTATTGAGCAAAGTGCTGTGAACCGGGGATTGGGCGGCAATTAAGTCGCCTTGCGATGAATGTGAGTGTAAAATGTGTTTCCATTGATAGCTGAGATGCGATGGAGGCGCCGTTTAGGCGTTGTCCTTCGTGTTTGATCGACTGCCAGATAGAGTGGCAACGACCTTAACTTAATTTACTCCTGAGGCGGAAGGCAGGAAGATGGGCAGATGGGCAGATGGGCAGAGAGCTCGAGCTCGAGCAGCGTGAACAACAAGAACTGAACTTATTTCCGGCGGAAGTATCAGTATTCGGCAATTTCCGGCCTGCCCTTGTCTTTGGTTCTTTTCTCTCTGGCTGCGAAACTTTCGCCGGCAATAAATGTTAATACATATTAAGCGATTTCCCAACCAGTCAATGAGGACCAAGTGGACCAAGTTCTAGCTGCGGCACGTCCCTGGCGAATCAATTCATCGAGTCATAGTGTAATTAATGCCACTGCGGCAGGACACTCGGCCCGAACCAGACGCAACTACTCGGCGCATCTGTCGAAGTGCCGGAATGGCTCAATTGTCTGGCTTCAGAGCACTTCCATTAGCCGCTGCCTTCATTAGGGCCCGGCCATAATCATCATCATCAATAATCTGGCTCTGAAAACACATCACAAATTAATTTTGACAGCTCTTGGCAGCTATTAATATCAATTATTCAAATAGTTCGCAACCAGCTGACGAACTCAATAAGCTGCTTCATTACTGCCCACTGGTTGAGTCAGGAAAGTGCCAGAAGCAATCTGCCTTTTGTTACCTTTTCGCTTATCAAAGACATGCCGATGCGGATGCTTTGTGTGCGATAATGAGCGATATCTGATGCGTTCGAAGTGTTGGCCAAGTTCCTTGGCCGCCTTGCAATGCCTTGGACCCAGACGATTTCAGAAGACAATGCTCATCTTTAACTTTCTCCCCCTCTACAATTTAACTAACAAAGCTACCATAAAGGATGCAGGGAAACTGAAGTTAGTTGGAAATGATTAGGAGCCAAAAGCAAATCAGCCGAACTTGTGGATTGTGTTTCACATTTCAAACAAATTCTTATCAATTGAATCCACTTAAAGCACAGTTTACAAATCACTTCGCTCATCGACATTATCATTGCAAGCTCGTTCTGATTTTCAAGCGTATTTCCTGCCCCGTTTATTTTCTATGATACCAAAATAGCAGATTGGCTGACCCTCCGCTTTTCACATGGCAGCTCGAAATTATGCGTGCACATGTACGAAATACCGAAATGACTAATATTTATTTATACAATTTTGCGGTTCACAGAATGCAGATAATTCAATTCCAGTGTCAAATTTGCCAAAATGTGCGTGTGGCTGGCTCAGCCCACCGCTCACCTCAAATGCAATTCAATTTGGCGATAAACCAATTTAAAGTCGACCAAAATGAACGAAAAACTGTGTGAAATTAAATGTACACACGCATATTCGAGTGTGCGTGTGTGTGTGCATGCGGGTAGTCTGTTTACCTCGCAATCGCGGCTCCGGGGTCAGAGGTTATCGAGTGGCCGGCGACCGAAGCTCTTGATATCATGCAAGCTGTTTGCAGTCGAACGAGAGTCGCAGTGCCAGCTAGTCGGCGATGAAGCAGCTTCTTGTGGCCGTATTGGCCGCCTTATTGGTAGCCGCCGTGCAGGGCGGACTTCTGGGCAGGATTTTCCACAGGGGCTCCAACGAAACGACAACCACGACCACGACGACCACAGAGGCGCCCCGCCGACCCTTCTTCATCAACAATAATGTGCCCGCAATCCCGACGGGCTGCGAGGCGCAGTTCAAGTGCAAAAAGAAGCTAGCCGATGTTCCGGCTCCACGACCCTGTGTGAAGTACTGCCTGCAGCGGATCAGCTGTCCCAACGGCCAGAATACCTTTGGCACGGCCACCCAGTGCGTCGATCTCGACGAGCAACAGGTGAAGGCCGCCCATGAGGCATCCACGGCGTCTCCGGGCGCCGCCACCACCGAGAAGCCCATGATGGTGGCCATGATCGACTTCCCCTGCCAGCCGGGCTATCTGCCCGACCATCGCGGTCGCTGTCGGGAAATCTGGTGATTCGATGGCTTTCGTGACTTAATTATACCTGTGGAATTTTCTGTTTTTATAAGCATGCCCTGAATAATGCTCTGAATAATCACAATAAAACCCCAAAGAGCTGTTGTTGCCCAAAGATCAGGCCCGTGTATTCGCACACAGTGAACAATTTGATAGGTGTTTCTGGTGTAGACTTCACTAATCTGCCAGTCACAACAAATGGCATCAGCGTTCCACTATTGATTGTGTTATCAGGGAACATTTCAAATCAAAATGATATTTTTATGTATACTTGTGGGAAAAATCTAGACTCAAAACAATGCGAATTTGGCTGGCACTTAATAGCGATTCTAGACTAATATTAAAATGAAAAATAAATACGTAAATAATCAATAATTTTTAAGTTTCGGCTAGTTTTCGTTTGTATGCTTTTGATGTTTGTATGCTTTCAAATTTTGATTGTGCGCTAATATAATTTAAATGATTAAAAATCGATTTAAAAACTAGCAGATATCCATTACTCAGCTAGTGGAAATGCAAACAAGAAATATCAACATTTTCTGGAATATCGGTAGAAATTACAAAAAAAATTCTAAATTTGAATGCAAATTTTTTTGAGTATTGCCCAGAGAGATATATACGATTAATATAAGTTGAGTTATGGAGCTTAGAACTTCAGCCTTGGGACATTTTTGAATTTCCACAACATCTTAACATCAGAAAAAATGACAAAAAAATTTTGAAAAAATAAAATTCTAAATTTGAATGCAGTTTTTTAGAGAATTGCACTAGAAACATTTAGAGGTATGCCACTTCAAAATCCGAATAATATTAGTTGAGTTATGGACTTTAGAACTTCAGCCTTGGAACATTTTTGAATTTCCACATCATAACATCAGAAAAATGACAAAAAAATTTTGAAAAAATAAAATTCTAAATTTGAATGCAGTTTTTTAGAGAATTGCTCCAGAAACATTTAGAGGTATGCCACTTCAAAATCCGAATAATATTAGTTGAGTTATGGACTTTAGAACTTCAGCCTAGGGACATTTTTGAATTTCCACATCATAACATCAGAAAAATGACAAAAAAATTTTGAAAAAATAAAATTCTAAATTTGAATGCAGTTTTTTAGAGAATTGCTCCAGAAACATTTAGAGGTATGCCACTTCAAAATCCGAATAATATTAGTTGAGTTATGGACTTTAGAACTTCAGCCTAGGGACATTTTTGAATTTCCACAACATCATAACATCAGAAAAATGACAAGAAAATTAAAAAAAATTAAAATTCTAAATTTGAATGCAGTTTTTTAGAGAATTGCTCCAGAAACATTTAGAGGTATGCCACTTCAAAATCCGAATAATATTAGTTGAGTTATGGACTTTAGAATTTCAGCCTAGGGACATTTTTGAATTTCCACAACATCATAACATCAGAAAAATGACAAAAAAATTTTGAAAAAATAAAATTCTAAATTTGAATGCAGTTTTTTAGAGAATTGCTCCAGAAACATTTAGAGGTATGCCACTTCAAAATCCGAATAATATTAGTTGAGTTATGGACTTTAGAACTTCAGCCTAGGGACATTTTTGAATTTCCACAACATCATAACATCAGAAAAATGACAAAAAAATTTTGAAAAAATAAAATTCTAAATTTGAATGCAGTTTTTTAGAGAATTGCTCCAGAAACATTTAGAGGTATGCCACTTCAAAATCCGAATAATATTAGTTGAGTTATGGACTTTAGAATTTCAGCCTAGGGACATTTTTGAATTTCCACAACATCATAACATCAGAAAAATGACAAAAAAATTTTGAAAAAATAAAATTCTAAATTTGAATGCAGTTTTTTAGAGAATTGCTCCAGAAACATTTAGAGGTATGCCACTTCAAAATCCGAATAATATTAGTTGAGTTATGGACTTTAGAACTTCAGCCTAGGGACATTTTTGAATTTCCACAACATCATAACATCAGAAAAATGACAAAAAAAATTTTGAAAAAATAAAATTCTAAATTTGAATGCAGTTTTTTAGAGAATTGCTCCAGAAACATTTAGAGGTATGCCACTTCAAAATCCGAATAATATTAGTTGAGTTATGGACTTTAGAACTTCAGCCTAGGGACATTTTTGAATTTCCACAACATCATAACATCAGAAAAATGACAAAAAAATTTTGAAAAAATAAAATTCTAAATTTGAATGCAGTTTTTTAGAGAATTGCTCCAGAAACATTTAGAGGTATGCCACTTCAAAATCCGAATAATATTAGTTGAGTTATGGACTTTAGAACTTCAGCCTAGAGACATTTTTGAATTTCCACAACATCATAACATCAGAAAAATGACAAGAAAATTAAAAAAAATTAAAATTCTAAATTTGAATGCAGTTTTTTAGAGAATTGCTCCAGAAACATTTAGAGGTATGCCACTTCAAAATCCGAATAATATTAGTTGAGTTATGGACTTTAGAACTTCAGCCTAGGGACATTTTTGAATTTCCACAACATCATAACATCAGAAAAATGACAAAAAAATTTTGAAAAAATAAAATTCTAAATTTGAATGCAGTTTTTTAGAGAATTGCTCCAGAAACATTTAGAGGTATGCCACTTCAAAATCCGAATAATATTAGTTGAGTTATGGACTTTAGAACTTCAGCCTAGGGACATTTTTGAATTTCCACAACATCATAACATCAGAAAAATGACAAAAAAATTTTGAAAAAATAAAATTCTAAATTTGAATGCAGTTTTTTAGAGAATTGCTCCAGAAACATTTAGAGGTATGCCACTTCAAAATCCGAATAATATTAGTTGAGTTATGGACTTTAGAATTTCAGCCTAGGGACATTTTTGAATTTCCACAACATCATAACATCAGAAAAATGACAAAAAAATTTTGAAAAAATAAAATTCTAAATTTGAATGCAGTTTTTTAGAGAATTGCTCCAGAAACATTTAGAGGTATGCCACTTCAAAATCCGAATAATATTAGTTGAGTTATGGACTTTAGAACTTCAGCCTAGAGACATTTTTGAATTTCCACAACATCATAACATCAGAAAAATGACAAGAAAATTAAAAAAAATTAAAATTCTAAATTTGAATGCAGTTTTTTAGAGAATTGCTCCAGAAACATTTAGAGGTATGCCACTTCAAAATCCGAATAATATTAGTTGAGTTATGGACTTTAGAACTTCAGCCTAGGGACATTTTTGAATTTCCACAACATCATAACATCAGAAAAATGACAAAAAAATTTTGAAAAAATAAAATTCTAAATTTGAATGCAGTTTTTTAGAGAATTGCTCCAGAAACATTTAGAGGTATGCCACTTCAAAATCCGAATAGTATTAGTTGAGTTATGGACTTTAGAACTTCAGCCTAGGGACATTTTTGAATTTCCACAACATCATAACATCAGAAAAATGACAAAAAAAATTTTGAAAAAATAAAATTCTAAATTTGAATGCAGTTTTTTAGAGAATTGCTCCAGAAACATTTAGAGGTATGCCACTTCAAAATCCGAATAATATTAGTTGAGTTATGGACTTTAGAACTTCAGCCTTGGGACATTTTTGAATTTCCACAACATCATAACATCAGAAAAATGACAAAAAAATTTTGAAAAAAATAAAATTCTAAATTTGAATGCAGTTTTTTAGAGAATTGCGCCAGAAACATTTAGAGGTATGCCACTTCAAAATCCGAATAATATTATTTGAGTTATGGACTTTAGAACTTCAGCCTTGGGACATTTTAGAATTTCCACAACATCATAACATCAGAAAAATGACAAAAAAATTTTGAAAAAATAAAATTCTAAATTTGAATGCAGTTTTTTAGAGAATTGCTCCAGAAACATTTAGAGGTATGCCACTTCAAAATCCGAATAATATTAGTTGAGTTATGGACTTTAGAACTTCAGCCTAGAGACATTTTTGAATTTCCACAACATCATAACATCAGAAAAATGACAAGAAAATTAAAAAAAATTAAAATTCTAAATTTGAATGCAGTTTTTTAGAGAATTGCTCCAGAAACATTTAGAGGTATGCCACTTCAAAATCCGAATAATATTAGTTGAGTTATGGACTTTAGAACTTCAGCCTAGAGACATTTTTGAATTTCCACAACATCATAACATCAGAAAAATGACAAGAAAATTAAAAAAAATTAAAATTCTAAATTTGAATGCAGTTTTTTAGAGAATTGCTCCAGAAACATTTAGAGGTATGCCACTTCAAAATCCGAATAATATTAGTTGAGTTATGGACTTTAGAATTTCAGCCTAGGGACATTTTTGAATTTCCACAACATCATAACATCAGAAAAATGACAAAAAAATTTTGAAAAAATAAAATTCTAAATTTGAATGCAGTTTTTTAGAGAATTGCTCCAGAAACATTTAGAGGTATGCCACTTCAAAATCCGAATAATATTAGTTGAGTTATGGACTTTAGAACTTCAGCCTAGGGACATTTTTGAATTTCCACAACATCATAACATCAGAAAAATGACAAAAAAAATTTTGAAAAAATAAAATTCTAAATTTAAATGCAGATTTTAAGAGAATTGCTCCAGAAACTTTTAGAGGTATGCCACTTCAAAATCCGATGAAGATCAGTTGAGTTATGGAGCTTAGAAGTTCAGCTTTGGAACATTTATTCATTTTTTTGAATTAATTTTATTAATTTTACTAACGAGTAACGGATATAATAAATGCGCAAATAACTAATAATATACAAGTTTAACTAGTTTTCGCTTGCTTTTTGTAACATTTGATGTTTGCATGCTTTCAAATTTTGATTGTGCATTAATATGACTATAATGACGAAAAATAGATTTAAAAATAAATTTAAACTGTTAATTAGATACTGTGATCAGAGGAATTAGAATTTTTTGCCAGTACATTCCCGAGTGAGTGGTCACTGTGCGGGAATAATACTTCTGCTGTCCCGACACGCCAAGTGTCAAACACACCTCCAGCGGCGGGAAAAGCGCGGTGTGGTTATGGGGAATCGGTGGACTCAGACACGAGTGGCGGAATTGGGGGCTGGATGAAGTGGGGGCTTACCTTTTAGGGGGCGGGCCGCTGGGCGGAGTCGTGGCAGTGAACAATTTTGTCTAATTACAACGGCAGAGACGAGAAGCCAGCGACAAGCCATAAAAAATATGCCATTTGCACGAAAATAACTGTGATGTGCTGTGACCTGTAGCCCCCGGCATTGATAGCCTCCTTGCAAATGGATGGAGGAGGAGGAGGTCCTGGATTGAGGGAGGAGCTGCCGAAAAAGCCAAAACCCAAAACCCAAAGCCACAGATATAGCTAACAAATGGCTTAATTCAGCCAGCAGCTTGACTGCGGAATGCGGCGCGATAAAAAGTACATGTATTAAAATTAACAAAACAACAAGACGCAGACAAGAAACGCCTTCTTTTGGCCCACATCGGTTGGGTGGGTGGATTTGTGGATTTGTGGAGCTTTTGGAGCCTAGTTCCATCACGTGATTGACGCACATTTCGAGCCAGCGAATACAACTGCTAATTCGACGCACCCAACTATGGGGATTGTGGAGTGGGAACGGGAATGGGAATGGTGGAAATTTTATGTGTCTTCGTCATGTTAATTGTTTTCCTTTGTTCGGCATTGTGGGCTGCTTTTTGCCGCCACAGCCTTTGCTGTTGCTTTGTTGTAAGCCATAATTTGCGCGCTTATAACTCAAAAGTTTTGCCGTCAAGCCAAACGCAACTAACTTTATTAACTGAAGGAGCGGGCCTTAGCCAGCTTTTGACTTCATTTGGGCCCATTCTTTTTGTTTTCTTGATTTCCGTTTCCGAGCGTCGGTTTAGCAGGAGGACGCAACTTTCTTTGGCTTGTTTTTATGGTAATCGGCGCATAACAAAACCACACTACCACCGCACCACCGCACCACCGCACCACCATCCACCTGTGTGTCTTAGGGGGGAGGTGGAGGTGGGTGGTGGCATGGCATTTGGAAATTAAACTGCGCACAGTCCTTAAAATTTTATAACTTAATTTCTCTTGGTCTGGCATTTTTGTGAACTTTTTGATTTGATTTCGTTTGGCACTCGCACAACTCCTTTTTCGCCGTATCGGTGGGCTGTTTGTGGGTGGTTGGGTTGGATTGGATTTGGGTGGTTTACCAGGTGGTTTTCCAGGTGGTTTTCAGCTGGTTTTCTGGCTGCTTTCAGGTGGGTGGGTGGGCAAGGCAGTGACGTGCCTGGCGTTCTTTTTCAGCCCGGAATTCGGCATGCGAATTAGAATAATAAACTGCTGGAATTTATTTGGCGCAGGAAAATGCTTTGGCTGCGCTGATAAGGTTGATCTATGGCCGTTGGCATTTCAATGGCCGCGATAAGAGCAATGAGTTTTGAAGGATTATGCCGGTGGCAGCATAATTGATGTGAGGCGAACATAACTCAATTGTGCCGTAATTGCGCTCCTCCAAATCTGGCTTTTCCGCCTCCAACGCTCTCCATTATTGGGCATAGCCCTAGTCGGCCATCCGATGCTCTATCTGCCTGGCTTTCTACCCTAGTTACCTTCGCAAGTACTTTGCAGCTGCTTTCATTATGCTAATTGCACGGACATCAACTGCGGAAACAATGCAACTAATAACAGAAGGCGGGGCAATCGCAGCAAAGGAGCGGAAAAGCACACAGGTATACAGGTATACAGGTATCCAGGTACACAGGAAAACTAGGGAAGAAACCAAAGAATTTTCATTAAAATTTTCATTTAGTTGCGCAATTATTTTTGTGCAGCCATTTTAATAACACTAATTTACCTTCAATTCCCAACTCTTTTTCGAGTCGCACAAAGGCCACCGATGAAAGAGACGGCGCATCGCACGGCGAATGCGAATGCGAAAGAGACGGCGACATACGGTTATAAATATGCGCAGCTGCAGGATAATAAAAATGATAAGTTTTTCTCTTTCTCTCTCACCCGTTTTTGCCGTCTTTTAATTTCATTCCTTTCAGCATTCACTCAACCGGCCACAGCTGAAGCTCAGCTATTACACTGCGCAAAACGTTGATACCTTCATATTCCCCTCGAGACTCGAGGCACCAAAAACTGCAATTGAGTCATGGCCTATAACACATTTGTTCGATCGGCTGTAGAGCTACAGTGAGCTCGGTAAATTCCAAATATGCAACATTTTCCTCACTGCTCCGATTCGAAATTGCTCGCAATTCAGGAAAAAATATTCTCTTTTTCCCAGTACCATCGGTTGTCATGCGACCGCAGCAGCAACGAGAACCAAAAGCTTCAAAGGCGGCCAGAACATCAAGTTCATTCTAAGCCGTTTGCATTGCAAATTCTGCATGGCCCGGCGAAAAGGGGGTGGGGGCAACTGGTTGGCCCCACAATCACTTTTCAATTAAATGGCATTCTTTCCTCTTTGCCATTATTTTGTGTTTTTTGCTCTATGCAGCGCTCTAGCTTTTCCCAGCAGCTCGGAGCAAAATGAGGCTGCCACAAAAGCAGAAGGCGTTAAAATACGTTGAGTGGCGCTGAGCAATGGAAATGGGGGCAGAAATGGGGCTTCATTTATGTGCTTGACCAACTCGACGAGGGAACGACTTAATCGCTCTCCACTCGCAACAACAGCCTGTTCAATTGTCAATCATTAATAGGGATTGACATGGACATGTCGCAAAAACTCGCGCCAGATTTAAATCCCCCAAAATTAATTATAAAACCAATTAGCAGGGCTCGAAGCTCGGGATTAACACAGATTCTGTCATAATTAGGTGCCGAAAGCTTTCTTATTTGCAGGGACAGCAAAAACAATAAAATCCCAGTCGGCCAAGTTGCCATTTGGGGCATTAGTCCTGCGGGATTAGGCCAAACTTTGTTAATTCGACGAAATTTAAGAACCCGGCCGAGAAGTAAGCAAATAACTGGCAATTTCCGAACCATAAAAAAGGTGCTTCCAATTGGCAATGAATTGAAAAACGAACCTGCGAGCAAAATATGCGTGCTAACTTTTCGCATTTACTTTTATTTGAACAGCGTAATACCCAAGTACACGTAAGTATAAGTACGTCTGGAATGGCTGCCTAAGTACGGCATGGATTAAAAGTTTCGGCCTCAGATCAACCCGAAGCTATGTCCCCTTCGAGGAATTCTTGCTGCCCAGCGCCGGGGCGGTGGGCGTGGCCGGGGAGTCCGCCGCCTCCACTGCATCGCCGTGTTTGAGCCAATAGGGCGCTAGCCGCAGCATGAGAATGGCGCCCAGCGGGGCGGTGAATATAATCGCCAGCACCGAGATGATGAGCACATTCCCGGCCAGAGCAAGCTGCTCCGCACTGGCCACGCTGGCCGCGCGTGCCATGTCCAAGGCCACTGGACCCAAGGCGGCCTAGGGGAACGAGAGGGTTAGCGGGGGCTCGTAATAAGCAGCGGCCACCGCTGCGTATGAGTGATATGTGATTTGCAGCGGTGCCAGATGAAATGCAGTTTGCTGTGCCATTTTAATTAAATCAGTAGGAAAAAGGTGGACAGTGGACAGTGAAATATGCACCACATATTAGGGCACACTTGCGACCGACCGCCGTCCTGGTTTTTGGCTCTCTTTCTCTGGATTTTTGGCTAAGTAAGTAAGCCAGCGTAACATTTAAATTTCTGTAAGCCACAGACGCACACTCGCCTGCTCAGGCGACATAAACAAAATGTCCGCTTGCGGTTAAACTGCAAACAAAAGGCTGGCATGCCAACTGCAGCCGCAGGAGCAGGTCCTGCGATGACTCTGGCTCTGACTCCGGCTCTGACTCTGACTCTGTCGCTGGCCCAGAGAACATGACCTGCAAATACGTGTATAACTTAAGCATGGGGAAAACACCAGCCAGGGCAGCCAGGACAAGCCGGACAACCAGGACAACCAGGACAAGCAGGACAACCAGGACGATGGTCAGTCTGCTCGTGGCAAGCGAGTGAAATGGCCGGCAATGAAATAAAAAGCGCCACCAGGCGGGAGACAACGGATGGGAAATGGGAAATGGAAAATGGAAACGGTGGGGGTAGTGGGTAAAGTGGAAGGGAGAAAGGGGGGACTGGGAACCGCAGCAACATGACACGCGGAACGGGAAACTTACTTGGACAGTTGCTTTGGGAAAACCGGAAATTGTAATGTAGGCACGTTCCTTTCTCGACAGATTTCCGCCATATGTGGATAAATATGCAAAAGCCAGGCGAAACTGAAAACAAGAACAAGAAAGTGGTCATCTCTGGGCGCTTTTTTCAGCCCACGTTTTTCTGTGAGCTCGCAGGTAACATTTGCATTGCGGTCCCGGAACATTTTCATTTCGGTTCACCCGCCACGCCCAACCGGAATCTCCACTTGGTCTGCGTTCTGACCAAAATGGATGCCTGGATGGGTGGCGCCACACCGCCGGTCCGATGGGTCAGAAAGAAATGAAATAAGTGGCCGGGACGAGCAGTTGTTGCACCGCCGGCCGCGCCTCCGGCGACCATTTTAATTACCAAACTTCCGACGAGCACCAACAATGCGCCATAACCGATTACATGGCCCTGCAGCACGTTGAAATTAATTTCCTTGCCGATGAGCGCAAACGAGACGGGCTTGAGGAACTTCCACATGAGGTCCAGTCGCTTGGGCACACTCGCCTGCAAGGGGAATCAATAAGTTGCAGTTAGATCGTGGCCCGATCCATCATGTTGCCCAGTTAAAGCACGTCCTGACTTCCCGGGCAAGCCGGCCAATCGGCTTAAGAGGCGCCTGGCCAGCATCTGGGTTAAAAGTTTGGGGCAAAGGTAAATGAAAGGCGGACGTTCCGCACAGGAATAGAAAGGAAAAACACATGCTCGAAACAAATCGAGAGCCGGCAGTCAACTCTGACATGGGACAAGGACGTGATGTCACAAATTACCTAGCAGAAATCCCGCACACAGCCGCTTTTTACAGCTGCAGCGGCGCAGGCCTAAAAAATAGCACTATTGCCAGGGAGCATTTTTCTTGGCCCGAAAGCAGGGAAAAAGCACTCAGAAACGCAAAAGTGGCGGCAGAGGCCAAAGTCTCCAGCTCAGGGAGTTAGCCGACTGGACTTCTTTTCTTCGATTCTGGACAGAGCAGGAAACTCTGAGTGAGTTATATGGATATGGCGGAAAAACTTGTCTCCCAGTCTAGATGTTTAGTTTCTTCAGGAATAGGGTTATATATTATATATAGAGATATGCCCCGAAATACTTCGCAGTGCAGGATACTCACAGTTTGCTGGGCCTGCAGCTGCTGGGCCGTCAGCCTGGCCTCCTCCCGCCGCCAGCCAATCCTCGCAATAAAGGCGGTCGTTACACAACCCAGGGCTCCGGCCGAGGTATAGCCGATGACGCGGCTGCCCATCACGGCGATGGTGCCGCCCAAGACGGTGAGGACGAAGCGGAGGCCATTTGCGTACGTCTGCAAGGATGCGAGCAAGGACAGATATGAAGCGGGTGAATGGCAAAACAGGTGAGTTAGGCGGCTGAGTGGGAAAAAATGGCGAAATCACTTTACAAAACTCTGATGGAAACTGCTTTTTGTGCTTTTTTTGCACCATTGTTTGTGTTTTGCGTGTGCGGTCAGTTGCGTATACGCAACGTGTGCTGCAGTGCAGTAAAAGCGAGGAAAAGGATACTGTACTGTGTCCTGCGTCCTGTCGCCCTGTTTTCGTTTTAGCATATATATACCAGTTTTGCCAGCTCGAAAAATTGCACTAAAATGAGTTCCAGGGCTTCAGATCTGATAAATCTCGCCTGCAACAATGTTTTCTCAGCCGGAGTTTTCGGCTATTTTGTAATAGCTGCAGTGTCAAGTTTTCAAGTCGCCAGTTTTGCTGGCTGATTGGAATCTTTTTTAATTTAGCCGGTGATTTTGCAACTACGCCGCAAACGGCTGCAATTCAATTTTACGCCCCACCCGTCAAGCTATTTGTATTTAACTATAAACTGCTCGTTCTAGTAAAATGGCATGAAATTGACTTTGGCAGCACATCGTTAGCTTGCCAGGCTTTATTATAAGGTGGGAAACTCAAGTTTCCTTTCACGCCGGCACACTTAATTTTCCAACTTGCGTTTCCGCCACCTCCTTGAACTACAACTTTTGCGCGAATATCTTATTGAAAAACACTGTCAACTGGCTTGGGCGCAAAAAAAGTGGCAAAAGGTGACGTTGAATGCGAAATTACAGAGCACTGCGCAATAATAATAAAATAAAGGCGGTAGCAATGACATGCGAAAGGAGCCTGAGAAAGGAGCCCAAAACCGAGGCCTGATGACAGCCACCCACAAGCAGCCCATCCTCGCCCCCTTGGGAGCTGACAGCGAATAGCCCGAGGACGTATATACATGGGTATATATGTGCTGTGTATATATGTGCTTGGTGCGCTTGATGGGCGGCACGAGGTGAGTGGGTGTGTGAAATATGCAAGGATGCAACTTCAGCGGCGCTCAGCGTGAAATTTTTGTACAAACTGCAGCACTGCGTGGATGCGGATGCGGATGTGGGTGTGGATGCCACTTGACGGTGGCAAAGGCGAGCGCGACTTGCAGAAAACAAAAGTTATGAGAACTCGACGGGAGTGTGTGTGCACGGAGGTTGCAAGGGTGGGTTTTGATGGCTTGGGTGGCATGCAGCATGCAGCATGCAGCATGCACCACCCATGGCGTTTGATTATGCGCGCCATTAGCGGTGTAAGTTGCGGCAATGAGTTTGTGGCTCTGGCTGCGGCTGCCGCGATGTCCCCGGCATAACTTCACATAGATGCTGGCAGTAACTGTCGTCGCAAATGTCGCCAGCTTCGCCGTTGCCGTTGTCGTTGTCGTTGCCGCTATGCATGTAAGTGTCTTTTTATGCAAAATGCACCCACACAAACAGCCGCGAAGGGGGAAGCCAGCACTGCGCGAAAAAATAGCACCAATACGTACTGCTACACAGTGTGCCATGTGATCGATTCCAACGGGAAGAATGGATGGTTACTGCCAGAACTTTGCTTAAAATGCAGCATTTGCAAATTGAGCTGACACTGTCAGATGTTGCGAAACTAGTTCAGTCGCCACCCGTTTCCCCCAGTGCAGCCGTACATATGGCACAGCGCCCACATGCCCCACCCAGCCGCTCGCCTCTGGAGACTGGCGCGCGTTTTGCATCATTAAATGCGCTGATTGAGTGTCTAAGTGTTCACTGAATGTGCATTTTAAGTGCAGCCCGCTCGAGGACGCGAAGGACGAGCTGCGTCTAGGTCCGCGCCTTTGTCTGGCAGCTTACCGCGCTCCGGGACGGCAAGTACTGGAGCAGCGAGCCGTAGAGATAGCCAAAAACGAGTCCAATCCCGATGCCAATGGGGCCCTGCAGCACTTGCTGGGTGAGCGAGGCTGGAAGTGGAAGCGGAGTGGGGGTTTATTTAACTGGGATTCTGGCTGGGACTCTGATGCCGATGCCCGGTCACGACGGGTGGCACGCACTCGTTGAGAATATTACGCTGATTATCACGCCAAACATGAAGATGGCTACCACATCGTTGCACGTGGTCATGGCGTAGATGAGCGTGTGGATGCCGCTGTTCAGCCCGAGTCGATCCTCCTTCAGCTTCAGCATCACGGTGACGACCACGTTGGGGGACACGGCGGTGATGACCAGGCTGCAACATTACCCCAAGTAATCAGTACCATTAATCCATTAGGCCGTCCGATAATCCAAGTGTTCCATTAGCTCATTGACTTACCCCAGGGCGATGCCCCACAGCCAGGGCATCGAGAGTGTCAGGTTGGCCAGTCCGGCGATGGCCGCCACCTCCACAATTGTGGGCAGAAGGGTCAAGCGGAGTATCATGAACCACAGCCGCTTGAAGGCGTCTCCGTCCAGCCCGAGGCCAGCCAGCAGCATGATGTTGATCAGGGCCATCTCCCTACGCAGCGGCAAAGAAAGCCGGATTAAATGTAATACGCACTTGCGGGAAATCTTACCTGAGGAACAGCTCGAACTTCTGGTAGCCCTCGAAGTTGGCCAGGCCCAGGTTGGCGTACAGTACGCCGAAGAACAGCATGCCCAGCATGTCGGGCAGGTGGACAAAGGTGACCAGGATGCCGGCGATCTGGGCGCCCACGAAGAGGAATGCAATGCGCATGATGGCGGTCGGTGGTTGGGAGTACTCCGGCAGCAGCACCCAGGCCATGGCCCAGAGGCCCAGGAAAATGGCCAGCAGGGCCACCAGCTCGGAAGTGTTCACCCAATGCGAACGGATGTACAGCCACCTGAAGGGCGAGTTCACGGAAAGAGTTAAACCAATGGCCAGAAAGGTTCCGAGCAAACTGAGGAAACAGTATCATGTGTTCCTTTCTCCAGGTATGGGGTACACATAATTGCCGCTAATTATCGAGCCCCACTTGGAGCTATAAAAGCTGACGGCCCCGGGAAAACAGAGCTAGGACTAAGCACAATGGACGACCACCAGGATCGCATTGAAGCCATGCGCCTCATTCTCCGGGTCATGCAACTATTTGGCCTCTGGCCCTGGTCCCTGAAATCGGAAGAGGAGTGGACTTTCAGCGGTTTTGTGAGGCGCCACTATCGCCTTCTGCTGCACCTGCCCATTACCTTCGCCTTTATCGGACTCATGTGGCTGGAGGCCTTCATCTCGAGCAACCTGGAGCAGGCTGGCCAGGTTCTCTACATGTCCATCACCCAGATGGCTTTGGTGGTGAAAATCCTCAGTATTTGGCATCATCGCACCCAAGCCTGGCGGCTGATGCAGGAGTTCCAATACGCTCCGGCCTACCAGCTGCACAGCCAGGAGGAGGTGGACTTCTGGCGCCGGGAGCAGCGATTGTTCAGGTGGTTCTTCTACATCTACATCCTGATCAGCTTGGGCGTGGTGTACAGTGGCTGCACGGGAGTACTTTTCCTGGAGGACTACGAGCTACCCTTCGCCTACTACGTGCCCTTCGAGTGGCAGAACGAGAGCAGGTACTGGTTCGCCTATGGTTACGACATGGCGGGCATGACGCTGACCTGCATCTCCAACATCACCCTGGACACCCTGGGCTGCTACTTCCTCTTCCATATCTCCCTCTTATACCGACTGCTCGGTCTGCGCTTGAGGGAACTGAAGAATATGCAGGATGATGCCATGTTTGGCAAGGAGCTGCGTGCCATCTTCCTATTGCATCGCAGGATTAGGAGGTTTAGTATGCCTCAACATCGCGCACTGTCGCTTGCTATATCTTTTTCTCTTGCAGATTGACCCTGACCTGCCAGAGCATTGTATCTCCCTATATTCTGTCCCAGATCGTGTTGAGCGCCCTGATCATCTGCTTCAGTGGCTACCGCCTGCAGCACGTGGGGATCCGCGATAATCCCGGCCAGTTTATATCCATGCTGCAGTTCGTCAGTGTGATGATCCTGCAGATCTACCTGCCCTGCTACTACGGCAACGAGATAACCGTGTATGCCAACCAGCTGACCAACGAGGTGTACCACACCAACTGGCTGGAATCTCGGCCGCCGACTCGCAAGCTACTCACTGCCTACATGGAGCACCTGAAGAAACCTGTGGCCATCCGGGCTGGCAGCTTCTTCGCCGTGGGTCTGCCCATTTTTGTTAGGACCATCAACAACGCCTACAGTTTCTTGGCTTTACTACTGAATGTCTCAAAGTAACACGGCACTTTAAATAAATATGGCTGCTTATATCTGAAATACATGTTATTTGAATTGAAGGAATGGAACACCACTAATCACCTCATATATCATGACATACTAAGTCACAAGTATAAGTTTACATACTGGAAGTCGCTTCGAAAGCCCTGCTATCAATTTCATTAAATTCCAAGAGCATAAAACCCTATTGAACATATTCAAGCTTATTCCAGTTAAGGTTAATATCGAAAACATATTAATTTCTGTGACATGTGACATCTTCACCGCTGCACAGGCTTCACTGCACTGATGATACATCGTCGCATTTGGAAATGAGTAAGGTATGATGAGTTCTGCCCCCAACATTCCTGCTTCCAATTGCGTGTCTTAGCCATTTAGTAGCGGCCAACAATTAACGTGTGGTAATGTCAGTAAGCTAATTATTGTAATTGCCCTGCTCATTAGTTGTACATGTAAATATTTGGCTGGTTACCTAAGGAAATCAGGGACGGAACGTATTGGGAACTAAGCTCACAAAATGAACCGGTTCCTCAAAATGTAACATAATCATCAGCAAATAAATATTGTTTTAAAGATGCCAGCAGAATGTCCAGGCGCTTGGAGTGAACTAGGACGTAAAAAGAGAGTTCAGCGAGGGAAAAGTTTATTGATACCACCCTAGTTCACCCAAAATCCAAAAAAATGTCCACTAACTTACCCAATAAGGCTATTAAAACTCAACGGCTATAAAAGCCCTAAAAATCTTCAGAACTTTTCATAAAATAGATCAAAATTAAGCTGCAAATGGAGTCTACAAATCGCCTAAGCGCCATCCAGACACTTCTGGTGATCCAACGCTGGATAGGACATCTTAAATGGGAAAAGGAGGGCGAAGATGGAGCCTTAACCTGGCTAAAACGCATATATCCTCTAGTGCTGCACCTTCCATTCACCTTCACGTATATTGGCCTCATGTGGTATGAAGCTGTGACCTCATCGGATTTTGAGGAAGCTGGCCAAGTTCTGTACATGTCCATAACCGAACTGGCTTTGGTCACCAAACTGCTGAATATTTGGTATCGACGCCATGAAGCTGCTAATCTCATCCACGAATTGCAACACGATCCCGCATTTAATCTGCGCACCTCCGAGGAAATCCGATTCTGGCAGCAAAATCAAAGGGATTTTAAGAGAATTTTTTACTGCTACATTGGAGGCAGCCTTATCGTGGCTGCCATGGGATATGTAAGCGTATTTTTCCAGGAGGATTACGAGCTGCCCTTCGGCTACTACGTGCCGTTCGAGTGGCGCACCAGGCAGCGATACTTCTACGCCTGGGGCTACAATGTGGTGGCCATGACCCTGTGCTGTCTATCGAACATCCTGCTGGACACCTTGGGCTGCTACTTCATGTTCCACATCGCCTCGCTCTTCAGGCTGCTGGGAATGCGACTGGAGGCCTTGAAAAATGCCACCGAGGAGAAGGCCAAGCCGGAGTTGCGCCGCATTTTCCAGCTGCACTCCAAGGTGCGCCGCTTGACCAGGAAGTGCGAAGTGCTAGTGTCGCCATATGTTCTATCCCAAGTGGTCTTCAGTGCCTTCATCATCTGCTTCAGTGCCTACCGACTGGTGCACATGGGCTTCAAGCAGCGACCTGGACTCTTCGTGACCACCGTGCAGTTCGTGGCCGTCATGATCATCCAGATTTTCCTACCCTGCTACTACGGCAACGAGTTGACCTTTCACGCCAGTGCACTGACCAACAGTGTCTTCGGTGCCAACTGGCTGGAGTACTCCGTGGGCACGCGCAAGCTGCTCAACTGCTACATGGAGCTGCTCAAGCGGCCGGTGAAGGTGCGAGCTGGGGTGTTCTTCGAAATAGGACTGCCCATCTTTGTGAGGGTAAGGTGTTCGCAAAAGTTTGAATAATCTAAATATATTTCTGCTCTTTAACCCCCGCTTTTGGCAGACCATCAACAATGCCTACACCTTCTTCGCCCTGCTGCTGAAGATATCCAAGTAGAGGGAAACGCACCCACTGCAATGGAAACGCACCCACGGGTCGGATACGTAACGCTGTAACTCATACGCCCCGTTGTTGTGAACACGAGGAATAAACGCCTGCAGCCAACAAGGCATTTCGCCAGCTATTAAACTAAGTGTCGCAGCCAAAAAGGGAACAAGAAACCGGGCTAGCCTGCGACTAGACGTGGGCATGGTGTTTGGGAATGAGATATGCCTGCTAACGGGATCCGCAGGACCCCAATCCCGCGCCATCTTCCCGCTCAAATCCAGCGGAAGCACGCGCCGCCAACTTCCACGACGACGACATTGTTGGCGCACAAAAGAAGTACAAAATACAAAATACAAAATGCGAAACGAGAAGCAAAGAATGGCAGCCAACGGATATGCGAAAAACGCGTGCATGGCAAGTGTGAATGGCGGCGCTGCTGTCCCGCCGGAAGTGCATTCAAAGGGTTAAGCACAAATCCGCACAATGGCGGCCCCACCTCCGCCCGCAGTGCTGGCCACATGAGCTTTTCACTTACCACTTGGGCCCTTTGTACTCGTCGCCACGGACTCCGCCCGGAGTTGGGTTCGCAGCTGGGTAGCCGGCCGCGGATCCTGGGCCAAAGCTGGAGTTGGAGTTGGAGTTGGAGTTGCCCGCATTGTTGGCGGCCACATTCTGTGTTGTATTTGTTAAATTTAATGATGTCGGCGTTAAAATTATTGTTGCAGCGCTTTGTGCGGCGTCTGCGCCCGCCTCATCCTCCGGGATTTTCTGTATGTCTAATTTGGTATGCAGCGGGCGGGTGGGCAGGATGTCGCCCTGCGAGTCCTGCGGCGCGGCTCCTTGTGTCATGTTGTCACCTGGCGCCTGTGCCCTGCTGCTGCTGCTGCTGCTGCTTTTGTACTGCTGCTGTTGCTGTTGCAGCTGCCACTGATACGGCTGCTGTCTGCTGCGCTTTGCTGTAAGTGGCAAAGAGATTTAAATGCCTTAATAGATACGTCTTTCACTGGGAGAGCGGTAATCGCTGGTAGGTTCTGCAGTCCTAAAGGGAGCACATGTGGAGATGGGCTAGATTTTGAAGGATCTTATTAATACTAGAGCTTTAAAACCTGACATGCATTGGCTAACTACATAGAACACTCTATTTAGCTCTTATTTCACTTCGCCTTGGCCTTGCAAAATGGAGCAGGACCATCGACCGCCTGCTAAGCGCCAAACTGGCGCATTTAGCCCATTTGGCATTCATTCCCGCTGCTCATGCATAACGAAAGCCCAACAGCAGTCGGATCGCTTAAATGGCAAAGTGCAGCCGACACACAGCCACTCCCGCCACTCGAGGCGGTGGCGAAATGAAGATTGCAACAAAGATTGACAGCCGTTGATTGTGCCGCCGAGGAGGCACGTCGGCGAGAAGGACGTCAGGAGCACCGCTGCCGGCAGGAAGCTGTCTTCACCTGGCCCAGGACGAGCACAAGGACGAGCGGCAGGATGAGGCGCACCCAGCCAGCCAGACGACAGTAGACAGTAGACAGTAGCCAGGTGCCTCCATAATTGGCTTCATTGTTGCCGCGACAATTTCACAGCTTGCGAGAGGCGGAAAAGGCGCTGGATGGTAGGTGGATGCCTATTCAGGTGGATAGGTGCTAGGTGCTAGGAAATACATAAATATTTCCATTTATAATTAGCGCACTTAATGCCGCCGAGCTTTCCAGCAATTGACGCCTCCTTCACGGCGGCTATTTGGAGTGGAGACTGATATTTGCATTTGAAGCGCCGTTCTAATAACAAGAATTTACAATCCACTTCACATCTCAATTATTATGCAGAGTTCACACTGTCTGCCGCCTGTGTGTTGCTGCCACATGGGCTGTGCAATCAGCACTTGATTTGATTTGATTTGATTCCAGCTGCCAGTTTCTTTGCCCTTTTTTGTTTGGGCCCTGTTTGTGTTTGATTTGAAAAGACAATCTGCTTGTCATTTGCCACCACTCGAATGGCTACGTGTTAATTGTGCGCAAATATTTAGCGCCAATTCTCGAATTCCCGCCGGTGCGAACTCTGAATGCTGCAGTGCTCGATTCTATATGCTATATTATACATATACATTTGTATTTGCGTGCTGGTCCATCGATCACGTGTCGCCTGTGATTCAGTGCGTCATGCGCCTCTGTGCCACACACGCCTAAATTGATTGCCGCTGCTAATTGGGTGTCATAATGCAGCGGCACAAATATTGGATCTGTGCTGTGAAGTGGCAACTAATAGAGCTCGGATTATTACAGCCGCAAATGAAATTAGAGCTCTACTTAATTTCGATTCAAATGAGTGCGGCAGGCAGACGAAGGGTTCCAAAAAGGCATTATTTTCGGATGGGAATTTACTAGCTGGCGTTAAGCTATATAATCTAATATATAGTATGAATATTAATAAGGAAGTCAGGAAAATGCAATATGATTAGCTTCTCAAGCTGGGAAAATAAATCCAATCACACTGAGGTACCAAAAGTGTGACCTCCTATTGATACCTACTAATTGTTTCAAGGTCGATCCACTATCAGGTTCAACTCTGCATTTGTTTCGCCCCCTCAGACTGAACAAATAAATAAACAAATTAAACAGCTGATGGAAGCGGAGATAACGCGTTGCAAAACAGCGGCAATCGAAATAATCTGCGACAAAGGGTAAAACGCCGGTCTCTTCGCAGTGTAACAACCAGAACAGCGCATAATTTTAATTATAGTTTCATTTGAAATAATAAAGTAATCTGCTTTGCAACGCGGAAGGCCAGAGCACGCAATAAATATACAAACTTTTTAAAACAATAACGAGCATGTGAGCATTTATGCTCTGTAAAGCTCAACGCGCTCATACAAATTCTGAATTGCAACAATAAACACAATGACGAGAGTTGGAAAATTATGGTTTTTCCGACGTTGTGGGGGCTTACCTGCACGGCGTATAATTAAATTAGATTGCGTTAGCCAAAGCGCCCATAAAACTAACTATATTCACATTCATCACATATTCCGATTCAGCAGAGAGTGCTATTTTATTGCCACCGTTTCACCGAACTGCACAATTTTAGCGCCGAACACCGACTAATCGCGTTCAATGGCGGCGGACAACTGAGATGCCAGCTCTCCCAAGCGGATAGCTCCACAGCCTCGGACTGACATATATATACTTTATCTTATGCTAATAAAAAACATATATCTGGGAAGTAGCGACGCTCTCATAGCCACGCGAGTGAGCCAGCAAAATATTTGCCTAACAACTTGAAATTAGCGGGCAAACCGAGCGGGATTGTGTGATAACGAGAACATATGGGATTATGGAATCGAAGGTGCTAATTACGAAAATCCAATCGAGATCAGGCTGTGCCCGTAATACATCACGCCGAGATTGTAGTCTTAAAGTGGGCAGTAGGTGGCAATTTGTAATCCCCGCCGCTCTGCAACATAAACACTTATTTGGCCCGAAGCATTTGCTTATCAATTAATTAGCCATAACCAATGGGAAACTTATGTGCGCCCTGCAAATATTTGCCATTTCAGAGGGCTAAACTCTGGGTTCAGTGGGATTTCGGTTGAGTTCATTATGGCTGCGAGCTTATTGAATATTTACCAGTTCAATGCGAAGTTCGCGTTTGAACTACAACAAATATTTAAGTTCTGCTAATTAATTTAAAATATCTCCGTCGCAACAAACCGAAACTCAAATGGCGCTCGGGGGGAGGAGCGAAATGATAACAGAGGCAAGATTTCTTCTCCATCTTTTTGAATTATGTGGCTCATTTAAAAGTTTTTGCGGCACTTACTTTTCTGTCTATTTTTTCTGTCTCCGCCCGGCGAAAAAATGCTGCATAAATTGTGCAAAGGTGTCGGCGAAGATAGCGTTCTCAGGTATTGTAAGGCAGCACTTTCGGAGGTCCTGCCGCTGCTGTGATATTTCATATTTCATATTCATGCGCTGCACTCGAGAAAACGGGGGAGCGTTGAGCCAACTTGCACTGCAAGTTGGGCAGGTCATTAAGGCTTCTTTGGCCGCCCGCCCCATTGATTATTACCTTTGGCAGCTTCCTGTGGCACGGCCACGCCCCCCCTGTCGCCGCACGCTCCGCCCACTTGCCCGGGGCACTTTTTTGGCATTTTATCTTGTCATATTTCCTGCAACTTTCAACTTTCAAGTGACCAGGCACGAAAATAATGCAAAAGTTATTTTAAGCCAAGGCACTGGATGCCTTTCGCATTTCGCATTTCGCTTTTCGCTTTTCAATTGCCCAAGAAGTTTCCACACAAATTATGCCACTGGTCACGAGAAGCGCAGCAGCAGCAGGATGTGCTGATGGAAAAAAGTAATGGCCATATCCATGGAGCTCCAGTTCCAGCTGCAGCTGCAGCTGCAGTTGCAGCCAAAGTTTTTGTCATTCGCTTGTCATGTGCGGACTATTGCGTACGAGTGCGAATCTGAGGTGTTAATTGGAAGCGAGGCAAACAGTTTTCCAGACAACGTCGGCCCGAAAACTAAACAACTTTGAAAAAGTTCGCTAGGGTCTGATGGAGAATTTATAGTTCTGCTCGAAGTTGCGCAAAGTTTTTTGCTGTCACTTAACATTTAGATTGTTATTTCAGCAAAAAGTGCCATAAATTGCCTGACACGGGCTCTACTTCGGTATATAGTGCGAGTATGTGTAGCTCCAGTAATTTACATCACTTATTCAACTATTCATTATTTGCAGACGAACGTTGGCTGCTTTTTCAATATGTTTAAACGTGAAATTGCGATCTGTGATGACTTCTGCAACTCCTTATTCCGTGCTTTTCCATGCCCAGGAGCACGGAGTTCCTGGCGCATACTTATATATCAAATCACTTTGCCCGTACTCAGCACACATTTATTTTATTTATGTTTACTTAAGCGTACCACCTTTTAACTATACCAGCCGGCTTCCTTGCCGCGTCCTGAATCCTGATTTCTCCACGCCATGCAACTCCACATGCTGCATGCCTCATGCTGCATGCTGCATGCTGCGCATTGGGGAAATAATTTCTTTGCGTGGAAGAAGATTGCATTCCGTTGTCACGCACTTCCTGCCAAGAGATGAACTCACGCCCCAGCGATTCGCATCTAATTTAGCGCTCATACATCGCAAATCAGTGGAAACTGGCACTTTCTTGGCTCGAGGCTGGCAGGCTACATAAAAGTGGTAGAGAAAACGAGGTCACAAGCGCCATTCAGCACCCTGCTGGTAAATAAGAGACAGCGACAAATTGAAAAAAGAAACTAAGCGGCCAAAGTCTGGCAGGTGGTCAAAGGTTAAGTGGGGGGAGCGAGTAAGTGCAGTTTTAGTAATTAGCTGCGGCGCAAGTGCAAGTGCCTTCAGATCCTTCAGATTTAGCCAAAGTACTCGAGCCTCTAAAGTGGGCCAACAGCTGCGAACGCAGCAGCGCCAATTGAAATGGCGTCTAAAGGGCTTTCGTGACGGCTAACATTCTCCCATTCATTTGGCAATCATTATGCTGAGTCACAGTCTTGCTGGCATTTATAAATGTCGCACACTGCGTATACGTAATGAACTGACTGGCACACAGCCACACACACGGGCAGATGGGGCGAATGCGCAATGCACTGCATTTATCAATAGACGAGTGAATGTTTGTGTGCCAAGCGTATATCATGTTGGCTTAGTTAACAGAAATGTCGCCGTTTCACTCACAAGCAGAGGCGACAGCTGAAAAGTGGCAGGTGGGAGGTGGCAGGTGGGCAGGTGAATGGCGGTGCTCAGCCATTCAAGGTTGAGCTTGAGGAATGGCCCAAACGCTGCATTTAAATGGAATTTATTTAATATAAACGAGTGCCTGCACATGCGAGCATTAGTGCTGCCTGCAGCGGTGCGCAAACCTATTTAAATATGACTTTCGCAGTCAAATCAGAGTCAGGCTCCAAATGGAAACGGGCATCGGAATCAGTATCAGAATCAGAGCTGCACTCCGAAACGAATGCACAGGAAATGAGCCCCGGTTAATGCATATTCATGGGAACATACTTTGCCGAGCGCCGCGGGCTCTTGCCACTCGTGTTAGTTGCATGATTGTGGGCATTTGGGCGCAACTAAAACGGCTCATTATTCGTGCGAAAATGCCACAATGGCGCTGGCCCAAGGGGAAATCCTGCTGCCAAAAAGTTGGCAATGGCTAGTGCGAAAACCCGCATTTGAGCAGATGCAAAACGCAAAACAATTGCAGCTCCGGCAGTTTCAAAAATACTAGCCACTCGCTTGTGGGCCAAAAACCAGCAAGGACCACCTGCCAAAACAGAGCAACGTAAACAAAAACCTCGGCCAACGAAGGTGGTCCACACAGGGCATTGAAAATTTGCAGAAACCAGAAGGAATGCAAGGAAGTGCCTGCCTTTGAGTTTGAGCCGGGACAGTGGATGCACTGCACTGCCAATCGCAGACATTCTGGCGTCAATATGCGGAAATATTACGTATACGCCACCCGCCTTCGCCGTTGTGCAAGATGTGATTGTGCGGTTCACTTAAAATCGAAATGCCTCAATCAGCTCCTGCCAGCTCGCAGAAAGAGCTGTGATTTTGCCAGGATATCTCGCCGACGAAACAAAAACTTTGCATAAACAAACTATGAATATACATATGTGTGTGCATGTGCTGTGTGCATATGTGCATATCTGAGCACGCATTGTGCACTTGGCTGTCGGAGCCACTTCGCTTGGCTGGCCAACAAAGCGTTGGCATGAAGCTGTGCCGCTGGATGTCTCTGTCTTCAGCATCCTCTTTGTGCTTCCACACATCCGGAGGACGGTTGCATAAAGGCAAGAATTTCCGGCACAAATACTTTGGCTCCGCATTTTTCCGAGCTCCCCATGACGACAGGGCGCAATTAAACATATTACTCACCTTCGGAGGCGCTTGGCGCGTTGGATCCATGGGCACGCGGAGGCGCCTGTGGCTTCTGGCCAAGCAGGTGCTCCTTTTCCGGCTCCAGGATGCTGGCGGTCACCGTTTCGCTGGCCCGCCGCAGCATGTGCAATGGAGTCACATTGGCGTCCCGATCCCGCTCAAGGTCTTGCTGGCAGGAGGACTTTTGGTCGGGCTCCTCGAAGGGATTGCTGTTGCGAAAGGCTTGTAAGGGCGGACCCTCACTGCCGGCCACTATGTCCAATACATCTGAGCAGTAACATAAATGTAAGGAGTTAATTTGTATTATTATTTCATATTTGTTGCACAAAAACAGGTCTCCAGCTATTTGGCAACATTTTAAATCAAGCATGATACATAGGGTTTGCTAATCAAACAGTTGATAATATAAAAAAATTTTGTGCATTTATTTTCCCAGCCCAAATTAAATTAAAGAGTTGATTTTCCAGCATTTTGACTTGTGGAAGCACACGTATTTGCACACGATTTAGTTATTGGCACTTGGGCAAAAATTGGCATTTAATTGATTAACCATAAACTCGTAAATTAGCGCCGAAAGTGAGTATCGAAAGCTGGCAGTGCTAAATGGCCATAGATACAAATATTGGGCTTACCGGAATCGCTGCTCATGTCGAATGTCGGCGAAATTCCGAGAACACAACAAAGCTGAGTGAATGAGTGTTTGAGTGAATGAGTGAATAAATGCGGAAAATAAGCCAAAGAGCGACAACTGCTGACGCAAACAGCACGATGACGTACGACTGTTCTTGGCTCAAATTGACGGCCAAGAGAAACGCTGCTGAGTGGCTGAATACACTTGACCGAACCCGAGAATCGAGTGGCTATATAGTATATATATAGAGGCGGATGGAACACGCGCGACGCGACCGGCGGAAAGGCGGAATGGAATAGTTGTAGTCCAGGGGTAGCTTGAGAACTCGGAGCTTCTTTTTATTACAGCACATGCACTGGCAATATTTGCCAAACGCATTAATTAGAAAAGCAAAAGCAGAAGCAGAAGCAACGGCAATTTAAACAAGCGATTGCCAGCGAGCGCTCTTCGATTAAAACTAATTGGCAAACAAACAAGCTGCGCGCAAAGCAAACCTTCTGTTTTCTTTCCTATCGGGCGAAAAGAGCGGAATGAGTCGGTTTTGGGGGTAAAAGTGGGGGCACTTACATATTTATAAGGGGTCGTTTAGCTGCGATTCCATGTGCCCATAGTTTTCTAAGGCGCAGCCAATTAGTTGATAAATAATTGTCATGCAATCATAATTTATCTGAGCAGATAAGGCGCGAATAGCCGCGTTATTAATAGACCTCCAATCATAGAGCATTTTCCATGCGTGGGTGTCGCTCACGAGCATTTCCTGATTAAACGCTTTCACTTATTCAGGGAAATGTGCGCGACCTGTCCCATTTCAGCTCTATGCGCCCTATGAATCGTGAACAATAGGTGGCGCTGTGCTCATGGAGAAGCACTGCTTTATTTGTTTTGTTATCAATTATTCATGTTTATCAGCATGAAAACCAATTATGTTTCCTTCGAGTGAAAAGAGTTGCGCTTGTCTTGTAAATTGTTTTCCGACAATTTGCATTTTGACGTGCTCATCACATTGGGCCCACGCCGTGGCCGTAATTTAATTGCTTCGCCGGAATATTTTTAATTTCCTGATGGACAACCCACCCCGCTACAAAGATAACCAATCGCCGTGACGTCACCGCCATTATCTGTGCTCCAGTCAGATCATCTCCTCATCAGCCGCCACGTTGCCACGTTGGAGCGCCAAAAAAGTGTCGTTTGCGAAAATATTTAATTTATTTTAACTATGCACACACACTTTTTGCACTGTGTGGCGTTGCAGTGGCACTCGCAGTGCATAAGATGGCCATAATGAGCATGTTGATAACGATGATGATGATGGCTCATCAAAAGCAAACAGGACATTGTGAGGTGAGGGGCTGAAAAAAAGGATAATAATACTTGCTCGCTCTATTTGCCACGCACACACATGTTGTTACAGTGCCGTGATTTTTGTTGCATCAAATTGGAATTTTTTCCTTAAATATGGTAAACATCGATGGGGCAGAGATTTATGTGTAGTTGATGAAAATGACTCGCCGCTGCATTGGCCGTGTTTACTGTTTGTCAGACAGGCCAGCAATTTACGCCCCGCGCAAAAAACATTAATTTGCATGCAAGTCAATTATCAGGAGGCAGCAAACAGACAGGCGCTAGTTACCAGTTACCAGTTTTCAGTTTTCAGTTTTCCGCATTCCTGTTTTGAGTTTCCAGTTTTTCGCCTTCTTTTGCACAAACATCGGAATTATTATTCCACCACCAGGATGCAGGCCTAATGGAGATACTCTCGAAATGGGTCCTGGCATTTCAACAAAAATGTTATACGGCGCGGAAAGATATTATTTTTGTCATAAAAGTATCCATATGGCATTATTATGGCTACTTTTGCAGAGCATCTATGGGTTGTGGAGCCGAACTTGGACTTCGAACTGCCAGACCAGCGCATTTCTAAATGTTTTTATTAATTAAAAATATTGCAAATTAAACACATTTCCAAATTGCGTTTTGCATTTTTCGCATAAATACGCGGCCGTTGAAAAAAATGCAAATATAATTTACAAAGCATACATTTCACATTTGTTTTATTTTCATTGCATTTTGGTTCGCTCTATCGCTGCTCTTGCAGCCATCAGTTCTTAAACTTGGCTTAAAGCTCTTAAACACGGGAACTACCTAATTAGCCAACTTGCTTTAATACAATTTTGGGACATTTTGGGACCAGTCTTGCGTGCGTAATGGGCTCTACCTGCTTCTGATGGTCACCTCGCACTTGTCAGCCAGATTGCGGCAGGTGAGGAACTGGCCGGATGCCCTAATCTCCGGCCAGCTGCGCCGGAGCGAGTGGGCAGCTCCCACGAACCGGTGGCCTTGTGTCTCGATGACAGTCTCGAAAGTGGCTCCCTGTGGCAGGTGGTCCAGTTGGTCCAGGTGCCACAGGAAGACGGCGTGCCCATCGCCGCCGCCGATCGCAATGACAGCCAAGAAAAATGTGTGCACCATGACGTGGCCAAAAGTGGCGGACTCCTCGCTCAGCCGCAGGCAAGCCACGCCCTCCGGGGGCAGCTGGGGGCGGACATGCAACCGCTCGCCGAACGTGCCGTAGATTTGCAACACTGCCAGCCGGTGGTCGCCGCTCAAGTGTCGCAGCAACTGCCACTCCCGCCGACCTATTGACCCCGCCGCCTCCAGTGGCAGCACCTGATTTACTCGGGCTGCCGGCGCCTGTTTATGGCTCCCCGCTGATAAGGCTGCACCTCCTGAGTCCTCGACTGCCGCATCCTGCATCGCGACTGTTGACAATTTGTTGGCCACTGGCTGGCCAAGTTGGTAACTGTGGTTGCTGCATGATTTCCCAGTCGGGCAATGATAATTTTGATACTCGCTCTCGCCGCTGGCTGACTTCTCCTGCCCCAGCTGCTGCTGCTGCTGCTGCTGCTGCACCTGGCCACCATTATTTATGGTGGCAACTTCATCGCAGCGCAATCCGTCTTGATCTGGACCAGTAATCCGCCAACTTTTCTTACTCAACTTTAACTTTGGTTTAACGAGCATATTGTTGTGACCTGCCCCCGAAAAGTGCTCGACAGCGGCCTCCTGATGCTGCACTTTTATCAGCGTGCAACGTGGCAGGGCAGCCTCCTCCCCCTCCTCCTCCTCGTGGCTCTTCCTACTGATTTCCCGAGGACTTTGGTCGACCAAAACTGCCCCGAGTTGCCTGGAGATTTGCTTGCCGCACTTGGACTTGCCGGAACTCGTCTTGGCCAGCGCCATTTTCGGTTGATTATGATATTCATTTGTGCACTTGTTGACGCTGCTCAGCTTTCCATGGCCCTGGGCGGCAGTCACCTTGTTGGTTTTCGCTGAAAAGAGGCACCGAAACGGAGGAGCATTACAAAAGTACGAAATGTAAATATAATAAATACAACTGGGACAGCTGCAGATCCACGCAAGTTGTCCATTTGCGCTCGTTTGTGTTTTGCCCCAAACCTCTTGACACAAACTCCCTGGAACTCCTCAAGTGGCAAATGAAAATAGAGCAGAAAGTAAGTAAATATCCACGTACCTGCAGCTGCACACAAATGGATGAACTATGAGCTATGAACTATGGGTGAGTCCAGGCGAATCATAAAGAATGCACACTTAATGGAGAAGCAATAAAAACGCACTAAGCACAGCATAATCTGGGAAAAACAAAGCAAAGGACCCTGAAGTGGGGAAAAGTGGCAAAAAATGAAGACCAACAAGGAGAAACAAATGCAGACAACGGCGGAAAATTCTGTTGCTGCTTGTTACCTACGCTGTAAACTTCACTCCAAGTTAACTTGGCCGACACAGATTGAAAATGGCAACAAGGGCGGCTAAACTTTAAACGAAGCCGCCCAGTGGAAAAGCGAGAGAAGCAGCGGCAACAACAATCCCAGCACGAAAAACTTTAGCAATTTATGTTACATAATTATGCCATAAAAAGAACAACAAGCGAAGATGAGCCATCGCGCTCAATTTCAAGCACTCTTGACTCGACTCCGCTTTCCCGTCACATTTTTCTTTCATTTGCGCCGCATCTCGGTCGAGATTTAAGTGAAACATTGACACTTGCCGCCGCCGAAAAGTTTTGGCCCACACAAATGCGTATTCTTAGCCAGGATGTTGCCATTGGCACTGGGTGTACTACAGCGCGGCGGGTGCAAAGGTTATTTCCAGAGGGTGTTGCATTACAGAAAGCGCCTGCCGAAATGTAATGCCTCTTTCGCAAAAGTTCAATCACACGAAAGGTAATTAATACAATTTGGCTTTAAGTAAACCAAATAATTACAGCTTCACTTTGAAGGTATACAAATTATATAAAATCAAGCGCTAGTCTGAATTGAAGTGATCAGCGGAATTTGCCACTTATTCCCCATTCAAGGACCCCCTAGAAACCTTCTGTAAGACTGGAAAAACGAGACATCTGTTGCCTAATGACAGGGCCAATTGGGATATCGTGCGGCCGGACTAAGTAGATAGGAGTCGCGAATGTGTGTCCTTGAAGAGCGGTCAGCACTTACCGCCGTCGCAGGGAAAGCTCTCCGCCAGCAGGGTGAACAATTTGTCCGACAGCAGACAGCGGCCCCTGGGCCCCAAAGGAACTCGGCACACAGGACACTTAACGGAGCGACTGCGGCAATTATTGCACAGCACGTGTCCATTGCAGCACTGCCAGCCAGGAGGTTTGATGACCTGATTTCCGTTCCGTACCGTTCCATTCCGGCCAGGTTGGCAGGTGCCGCCACAAAGAGCGCGGTGAACATAAAAAGAAAGGCAGCGTGTAATTATTAGAAGGGGGAATTATTTCAATTAATTATACATATCATGGCCATCGATCCCAAAGGCCCCCATGAGCTGAGGTGGAGCTCAGCAGCCTGATTGCTGCATTATTATTTTCCCCAATTGCATTTAAGCAAAAATCAATTCCAAGTCTGTCGTTCGTAATGCACAAACGGCAACTAAATTTGATTATTGCCCACATTTGCTTCTTGGTTGCCCCCTGAACTCGGCAGCCTCGAGTCCGGATGCAGTGCAGCAAGGATGGCTCCTCTCGAATCGACATGAAAAATGT